AAATATGAGGTTCTTGTTACACCAATCACGCTCTAGATAAGGAAAGAATCCACACCCCATTTCTATTGGTTCCCACCCCCCTAACTTTGCCCCACATCTATATTTCCCACACTCCCCGCTCCGAACCAACCATTGAATCCCATCTGATCTCACTTCCCTCTGCACTGCACACAACTGAAACATCAAACCAAACCAAACCAACCAATCCCAAGCTCTCCACAAGAAAACCCTAAACAAATGGCAGCGACCATGGCAGCAATGGCAATAATCAACGCAAAGTGCTTGAGCTCCACCACCACCCCCAAAGTCGCCACCAAGCTAACCGCCGCAAAGCCCACCTCCGTCCTCTCATTTCAAAACCTCCCAAAAGGTCTAACCCTCTCAAAACCTATTGAACTCTCCAACATGTCCCCTTCCCTCGCCGGCACCGCCATCGCCGGAGCCATCTTCTCCACCCTGAGCGCCTCCGACCCCGCCCTGGCCGCCCAGCAAGTCGCCCAAATCGCCGAAGGCGACAACCGCGGGCTCGCCCTCCTGCTGCCCATCATTCCCGCCATCGCTTGGGTTCTGTTCAACATTCTCCAACCGGCTCTCAACCAAATCAACCGCATGACAAACAAGAGCGTGGTCGTCGGGCTCGGGCTTGGTGGGTTGGCTGCGTCCGGGTTTGTCTCGACGCCCGAGGCGTCCGCCGGCGAAATAGCCATGATTGCTGCTGATGCCGCCGGTGACAACAGGGGGCAGCTGTTGCTGTTTGTGGTGGCTCCGGCGATTCTGTGGGTGCTGTACAACATTCTACAACCGGCTTTGAACCAAATCAACAGGATGAGGTCTTAGAGTGATGGTTTTTTTGTATAGGGTGCGATGGCACAATTGTTGATGAACTTGCTTGTAATTGCACCTTTGTGTTAATGGCATATTAATATGTGTCTATATAATCTGTTTATTCACTCGAGCAAAACGGAGTTTGAAGCTCATGGGTTTCCACGATAATGCATGGTCATGTTGTCACCAATTGTACTGTACAATTGGGAGAGAAACATTATATATCGTCAATTTGATAACTTTGTGTCGGTGTTTAAATCAGTTAAATTATATCATTGTGTTTTAACTTTTTAACTTAACGATACACAATTAGCTAGTCATTTCGTAACAGTGACATTACAAGTGTAATGCAGTTGTTCTCTACAGTTGGACATCTGCTAGGTGCTAGTTAACAGTCTAGTGAAAGATTAGTGTTAGAGTCCTGGATTAGACAAGGCATCAACTCACATTTTAGCTTCGCCAAAAATATTTCGAACTTGATGCACTCTGAGAACATCTCTAACCGAAAGACTCCAATAAATTAATATTTATGAACAGTGCATGGTTATATTTCTTATCGTCCCCAACTAAGGGTCAGGCCAAGTATAACCCTAGTTACAAAAAATCATCTCCAACCAAGGGTCAAAAGGTCATAGGGCCAAACATAATTTATTATTTTAATTGAATTACTATGGTTACTTAAATTAAATTACCTCAATAAATTTATGTTATGGATTGTCAATAATTTTCATGTTGTTAAATGTTTTTAAAAATGTTGTTTAAGTTTCATGTTGTTAAATTTTTTTTATGTTGTTTAATGTTACTTAATGTTATTTAATGTTGTTTAATATTGTTTAATGTTGTTTCATGTTACTTAATATAAAAAATATTAAAAAAAACAAATATGATGTCAGCATGTGGCCCGACCCCGGCCTGTTGGCTGACTCATTTGGGTCGGTCGAATGGCCCTTTGGCCCCTTTTTGTTCAGTGAGGCCCACGAGCCCTTTGGCCTGGCCCTTAGTTGGAGACGATTTTCGAGTTATTTTCTGCCTTTTGACCCTCTGAACCTTTTGATTGAAGATGGTCTGAAGTCTCATGACTTTATGATTGATTCGTACAACGAAACTCGAACAGAAGGTGGCCATATCTCATATGTACTCAACAAAAATGGGAAAAGACAAGAAGTGGAGAACCAAGTAATAAGAATGGGATCAACTAATCCCTCAAACACAAGGTGATTCCTAATTTTTAAGTATTTGATTACAGATTTCAAAAGAATGCTTATAATTTTTCTATTTTTGACATGTAAGTAAACGCAGAAAAAAAAAGAAGAAGAAATGAAGTGATTCATTTTAATGAATGCAGAAAAATGAATAATCAAAATGACTCCCATATCTATTACTCGCAGGTAAAGAATAAAAATAATTATAATTTCTTTTACCGGTAAACATTGCCCTGAAAGGGTAAACGCATTAACAAATAACAATTGAGAATCTGTGCTTGAATCTCCATATTCTCCTCTGACTCGTTTTTGGGCAAGTAATAACCCGGTCCATAATGGTATTGTGGACACCCCAATCCCATCTACCAAAGGACTTCGGCCCAATAAAAGAAGAAAATACTTGTGTCCCCCTCGTACGGGACTTACTTGTCCGTTTAACAAATTTTTACCATCTGAACATCATATACATAACTATTCATTCTCTTTATCATCACTTAAAGATCGTATATAAAAAAAAAAAAAAAATTATTTGACTTGGAGATCCTGAGCCATTCATATGCATCAAACAAATGAACGGAACATCCTGAGGATGCTACTTGTTACCAAAACTGTTAATTGGTTTAACACGTATGAATGATTGTTCGCAGATGTGACCTTTAATTAGTTGATGATAAAGAGAACGAACAGTTCCGACTATGATGTTCGAACGGTAAAAGTTCGTTAATTGTAGGTGAGTTCCCAAGAGAAGGAGTTGGGACACAAGCATTATCCAAAAACAAAAAAATTTATTAGAAGAATTAGGAAGTTTTCCCTAGTGTACATCAAAATTGCATATTTAAGTTCCACATTTAAGCAAGAGCCATTAGATCATGTTATGTTCAGACGTGTAACTTAAATGTGTACTTTTGATGTGCACTAGAAAATTTCAGAAGAATTAGCCAGTATGATCCCAAACTTTATCTTTGAGTGACATGCTAGACTTACCACATTTTGTACATCACATTTGCACCATTGCTCCATCGATATAGGAGTCACTAATACAAACAGGTTTCACATCCATGATTAGATCGTTTGGAAGTTCTTTCAAAATGACTGAAGGAACTTTTGTTGAAAGTATTTTTGGGTTCCAAAAGCACTTCAAATGCATTTTGAAAGAAGTATCAGTTATGTGGTTCTTTTTGCAAGAAACACTTCAAGTGATTTTATAGGATTTCACTTGCATTTTACTAAGGAGTTTTCTAAAAACACTTTCATCAAAAGCGATTTAGACATTTTAAAATCACTTTCAAAGACACCCTAAAGAAGTAGTATAGATATACATTGTAAAATTTGCTTATGCGCTGTACAAAATGTCGTGACGATAACATTTTTTATTCTTTTGAGGCTTGTGCGGCACATGAAATGGAGGAGCCTGAGTGGTGTTCATCGCAACTAATCAAGATGGAAGACGTAGCTAGGCTTCAACAATAAACAACAGATGTGATCACAGGTCACGGAAGCCATGCAACAATGTCAATATGCATATGCGTATGTAACCAATGCAATGTTCATCACTTTGTTAACAAATATCAGGTCGATCAGGACTCCAGAAGAATGCCACTTAGACTCGTGCTTGCACACTTACACACCACTTTTCCCCTCTCTGGTTGGTCATAGTAAAGTTTTATATTAATCTTCTTTATTTATTAATGATCTTCCTTAAACTACAGTTACTTTTTACATAATTAATTAACGCATAGTTTTGTGGCTGAGGCAACTGAGTGGTTGGTGCATTCCATAATTCCATTCATTATAATCTCCATTTTCTTTTGGAAAATGCTAGGTAGACCATGTTTTTAGAGCATATTGTATAGACCACATAATATGTTGATTAATGATTGAATTTTTCTAATAATTTAAAGAAGAAATCTAACCATAGAATGAGTTAATAAAGGCTCACTGGAGGTAGATGCCCCAACTCAAGTCATTTCTTGTTAAGCTACAGACTGCAGTTATACACATACACGTATTATATTTGAATAAAGTATATGTATTTAATATCAAGCATACTCCTATATAAAATATAACATGAGCAAAAGTGCTCCTGTTTCATCATTCAAAAGAAAAACCCATTTCTCGCCTCTCATGTATTAATATTTTTCTCTTCATTTTGCCACTTTCTATTATCACATAGAAATTTTTGTAACATTGAAATTGTGATGAATCATCATTTGAAACCATCCCCATTTTCATATTAGGTATAAGCCATACCATAATAAGGTTTTGTTAGTTATTTTCGGATTGTCCCCATTAGAAGAAATTTCTAACTCCGTCCCTAAATCTAACCATCACTCGCCACATTATGTAATCTATAAAAATATGATTTAAACATATGGTCTCTCTAACATTACTCTTTCTTTTTTATTCATGCAAATAAGGACATGGTGTTTAATAAAGGTCTTAAAGATAAGAAGGAAGTTTAATATCATATAATTATTTACACTATCCATCTGTTATGTTCAAGTAGCTCTAATTAAATAACTGGCTAACAAGATTACAATGTTTTAACTTTTATACGTGTCAATTAATTTATTCTTTATTATATAATACATGCCATTATATGACTAATGACTTCCTCCTTAATCATGCTACATTAGTACATTGGGACCTTGGTCTCATCATTTTTTTTTGCCGACTTATATAATTGACTACCAATATATTTATTATTAGAATAATTTCTTGTTAAAGTAATTTATATTATCGAATTGTGAATCTAAAAATAGATTCCGTTGTATAGTTAAAATTTGCAGTCTGGTAACAAAACAAAAAACTTCTATCTGGCAACGTAATTGATGTGAAGTTAGAGTTTTTCTTTTGAGTAAGTTTAGGGGACGTTAGTTTTAGTTACAATTTACCCTTTTAAAATGAGGAGTTCAGCTAGGAAACAAATACGATTAAGCGAATACATCTCTTTCCTTTTTGTTGCTGGAAACTTGGAAAATATATACATCTGCATCCCCCTCCAACAATTTTCTACAAAATAGATGCCTATATAATATAGGGTTCAAGGGATAGGAGGAAGAAGACACAAGCCGAAGAGAACTGACGGAGGTTTTTAGAGAGAGAGAGAGGGGAACTCATGCAGAGATAACATGAAAAACAACACTCCGACTTTCAAGTACTTGTTCCTCTCTCTCCTCCTTCTCACTCTTCCCATTCTCCTTCTCGTCCTCCGTCTCCAACCCCACAACCTCCACAGGACGGCCGCCACCGCCGTCGCCACTACACACAATAAAATCCTCCCGGTTATACAACCCGAATCCCAACAAGAAACAGAAACCAATACCACATCCGCTAAAGACATCCGAATCCGACCAGGCTACACCTCCTACGAAGCCTACCTCGAGCGGCAGGTCAACAAAACCAACAACCCTAGGCTCCGCCAGTTATGGACCACCCGCGACTGGGACCGAAAAATCCAAGTCTTCTCCCAAGTCTTCCAACAAATGAAGCGCCAGAACCTCCTCACCGACAATTGCAAGGCCCTCTGCATCGGGGCTAGAGTCGGCCAGGAGGTTGAGGCGTTGAAGCGAGTCGGGGTGTCCGACTCGGTCGGCATCGACCTCGTACCGTTCCCTCCGCTCGTGGTCAAGGGCGACTTCCACAACCAGCCGTTCGGCGACGACACCTTCGACTTCGAGTTCTCGAACGTGTTCGACCACGCTCTGTACCCGCGGAAGTTCGTTTCCGAGATCGAACGGACGTTGAGGCCCGGCGGGGTCTGCGTTTTACACGTGGCAATCTCGCGGCGGACGGATAAGTACTCGGCGAATGATCTGTATAGTGTGAAGCCGTTGGTGGCGATGTTTCGGAGGAGTAAGTTGGTTCATGTCAAGGAGGTTGACGGTTTTGGGGCAAACACGGAGGTGGTTTTTCAGAAACGGCAAAAGGGGAGCCCATCCAACGGTCCCAATTGATTGATATAAACCAATTGTCACTCTGCAAATATGTGCAATATAATTTCTTGTTTAATGGGAAAAAATTTATTCAAATCATGTCATTATTTGTGTATATGCATTCCTGCTTGAGCAATGATTTCCATCTAATCTCTATTAGAGAAACATAATCTTTCTTCACATGAGAAATGATAAGGAGATGAGAATTATAAAATGTTGTGCCTCAAAAAAGAGCCGGCAAATAGTTTATGAAGAATTCGACTTTTGAGAGAGTCTCCTTATTATTTCTATTATTCACATTCTGAGTTTGTTGTCATTTTGTTTTATCAATGATGACAAATTGAGGGGATTGACTATATGTATTTAATATAATCACCATCTAAAGGTCAGATATGTGAATATATGTAAATAATACAATTACCATCTGACAATCAAAATGGTGATTGTATATTAAATACATGTAAGTATGGTAGCCAAATCGAAAATTGAGAATGTGAATACATGTCAATATAGTAGTCAAATCCAAAGTTGAGAATGTGAACATAATAGTTTTGACGGTAATTTTGTTTATGTATATTTTTGGGACTATTATCGCCCTTCTCTTTCTCTTTGCACACCTTATTTATTTTTATCCTTTTATTTTTCTTTGATTTATATGTATGACCTAATTGCTGAAAATAAACACCAAAACATCAAATTTGTCGTCCTATGTGGGTATGCGAATGGTGAGATATATTGATTACATTATGCTTGGAATATTTGGAATTTTTAAGCCTAAAAAGTTAATAAAATACTTGCTTAATTCGAAATTTATACTTTTGACGATGATTTCCATAACGACTAAAACAATGCCATTTGCAGTGGCCCCAATGCATGATTTTGTTGACTAGTTGCATAACATAAAGTAAAAATTAACGTAAAGATAGGAGATTAATAGCTTCTATTAGCCTGCTAATCCGATTGACAAACTGAAAATCTGTTACTTCTTTCCGCTACAAATCATCCTACAAAATCCACTTTAATTGCAACCTTAAATAATCCATAAACATGCCTTAATTATACAGTGCGGGGAAAAAAAAAGGGGCGAAAAAGGAAGCAATCTACAGATTCTACACGCACTAGGACCCTTTTGATTCGTGACAAAACTGCTGCACAGATACGATGCAGCTGAAAGGGTTCCAAAGGAGGGGAGACAAACTAAACGTAAAAACAGAAAACAAAAATAATCTCAAGGCCTCGGAGAGAATGCGAAAACATTGGCGACGGTTCAATGACTATGATACAGGCTGACTGTCGGGAACGGATTCAATGGGCTCGCTGTCCTCCTCCGGTTGTGACTGAGACGCTGTAAGTTTTGCCTTCTTGAATGTGCTTGAACTTTTGGCCAATTCATCCCAATTCATGTCCTTTATGCCGGAAGTGCTGCTCCACAACGAAACAATACATGAAAGGCCTCAGATATTGATGAGAACGAACATTTCAATATAAAAGTAACAATGCTCTGTGGTTTAGCGACAGATTGATCCCCATTACAATTCCGGTGTTTTCTTAACCAGAAAAAAAAAAACAAATCTTCTTACGAGCGACAGAACAAGCGAATTAGATGAAAGGTACAAAGTTGTTAAAGAGGCATGGCTGCTAACAAACGTACCAGGATTTTATCACGCTTCTCCCACCAGCCTTTCCTGTGGAAAATGCAATGTATCAGATAATGAAACCATGAAAACTTGGGTATAAATATCCAAGACATGAATTCTTTTTCAACTAACCGGTTCTTGGCGTGCTCATATCTGCATTGCTTTCCCCATCTGAATAGCCAGATGACGAATAATCTGATGGAGTTTGGGTGCTGGCCTTTGAAAGTTCATCTTTACCTTCATCTTCAGAACTCCCACTACTGTCATCATCCTTGAAAATTTTCCTTGGTGTAGCTAAGATCTTTCTCTTTTCTGGGCTGTTTACAACTTCCCCATAATCGATACCATAAGGTTTTCGACTGGCCACACGATTTCGGTTCACACCTGATTGAGACTTGTTATCCATTTTATGTTGGTGAGGTTTATTGTTTGCTTTTTCCAATTTAGAATTCAATACAGCTGAAGAATCATTCTTTTTCCCTATACGAGTATCAATACCAGAAATGTTAGCACCACTGTGATTTCGGGCTGCTTTAGAAATGGAATTCATCTTATCAGACTTATCCGGTGTTGGGGCTTTGGTCCCAGTTTTAGGAACTTTCTTCGAAAACATTTTTCCATCGTCACCCTTGGATGATGATCCTTGTGGCTGTATGGAGCTAGAGTTTCCAGCTTCAGACCTTCCATCGATCCCTTGGTTCTCCATAGACTTGAGCGAACCTTGCAGATCAGGCGAGGGACCACTTTGTACATCAAGCTTTCTTCGCTTCTTTTTCGGTTTATCATCTGCTCTGTTTGTTCTAGTCACCTCAGCGTGCACTTCTTTAGAGGTAGCAACTTCATGCTGGCCTAGGCCAGGCACCTGATGGTTGTCAAAGTTGTCCTTATTGCCTTCACAAGAAACTTCCATGTTCTTATCAGCCTCGTTAGAGCATCCATTTTCAGAAGGGTTCCCAAAACTTATGCTAGTGTGTTCTAGTGCATGAGAAGGAGCTTTAGTAGGCTCAATACGCTTGGATTTTGACCGAGCAGAGACCGAATCAGTTTCCATGCCATAACCCTTACCAGATTCCACAGCTTTCACATTTGATTGTTCAATGGGACTTGTTTTGTCCAACATATCAGTTGTCGGTGTTGGAACCTGGTGACCGACTTTTTGCACTTCAGCTTTCAAATTTGGGATTTCTTTTGTCATGGTACTCTTTTTCCTCTTAGATTTCTTTTTGACGTTCTGCTCCATACTTTCTGCATTTTCTTGAGGTTTGCCATTTTGCTCCAGGTTCCCCACCTCACTGCGATCAAGGTTATCGGTTTTCGCAACGATATGAGAACTCTCCGTTTCTTTTTCTGATACGTCTATCCCATTTTTCTTAGAAACATTACTTTCCTCCTCCTTAGCTTTATCACTACCATGTTCACCATGTACAGCTTCATGAGGTTCATCCAACGAAATTCCATTCTCAGAACCTTTAATGTGTCCTGCACCTGATTCAACCAAAGTTTCTCCTATGGATCCCTTGGTTTTTCTGGTCTTCTTTTTCTTCTTACTAGTGTTATTAGGGGTGACCATTCCATTTGCATCCAACAATTGAGATTTCACAATGACTTCCGTATCATTCCTATCTCTCTTATCCTGACCAGGCAACTGTGTCTTTTCAGACGTCACCAATTCAGAATCCTTTCTCTGTAATGATTCTCTCTCCTCTCCGACTCCTTCTACGCAATCAATCACACCTTCACTGGGAACTTTGAAAACAGAGGGAGGACGGTTGTACAATCCTTCTTCAGCCTCACCACTTTTGTTTTCCACATTACCAGCATCGGCGGTATTATTAACATCTATAAAAGATCCCTTCTGAGAGATTCCATTGAGTTTAGGTGGCGTTAACGCTTGTATACCTTGTTCATTAATAGAAGCAGCATTGTCTTCTACACCTGAATTTTTATCATTACTTCCTGAAGCAGCAACAGCAGATCTCTCTGGTAAAACATCTCTTCCGGAAGGAGCTGCAGCGACTACTTCATGAATAGAATTTGGTGAAATCTTTCTCTTTTTCTTCTTCTTCTCCGTAGATTCAGCAGTTGAACCATACAAGATAGCACTTGCACTTTTCTGTGTGTCCCTTAAAGAGAATTCAGATGCAATTGCTGACTTGGAAGTCACGTTATCATTTTCTTTCAGTGAATCCTCAAGACCAGATATGTTTTCAAACTTCCGCTTTTTCTTTGCAGCAGGCTGAGATTGTGAAGCATCTTCCACTGCTATATTGGAGACCACAAGACTGCCATGCTTAGATGTAGTCTCCCTGCTCCCGATGTGTTTTCCAAGAACTTCAGTGCCCTTGTACGCATCATTTGTCATATGAATTCCAGAATGTGACCTGTTATCCATACTAGAAGCCGAACTCCTGCAAGGTTCTTCTGTAGTGTTTTTGTTTCCAGCTGCCATATCATGTGAAACATCTTTAGCGGTAGTAGTTTTCTTTCCAATAGTCACGTCACATAGAACATCTCTACTCTGATTGCCTAATGAATTTTCAGGTGGTATAATATCTGCCTGCGACTGTTCTTTACCAAATCCAAGAACTGAAGCACCGTCTTCTTTTAACTGAACTGGTTTTTCATTTCTCTGCTTAGTCTTGCGTTGTCTTTTCTTTTCAGCAGGCAGAGCTTTTTCTGAAGAGACGTCGCATTGGACATCAATTTCTTTCCTCGAGCCATCTTCCCTGCAATCTTGTGTTTTGGGAACTCTGTACCCCTTGCTACGTAGGCTGTGGTCCTCCTGTATTTCAGGTTCCAGCCGATTCCCCGTCTCATCAGATGAAGTTGCACAATGATCAATACCAGAACTCTTGAACCCTATCTCCAATTGTTTTGAAGTTTCTCTAGCAGAATCAACTGAACCAGCCTGGTCAGCAATATTAACTTTCTCTTCTGCACGCTTGTTCCCCTCAAGTAGCAATGGCATTGAATCATTAAAATTGGACAATCTTTTCCCCGGAACATCTTTAGCATCGGCAGAAACAAACCAGTTATTGTTGACCCTGAAAGCATTTCTAACAACCATGGAATCTGATAGGTGATAAAAGAATCCTTTGCGTTTTACCTACCAGGCATACAAATCATCCTCAATACCAAGGCTATATTTCAGCAAAGGTAAATTAACAATTCACTAAAAAAAAAAAACAAACCTTTAGAGCTTCAACTTCGATTTTTCCCGCCCTAGTAAAGCACAATAGATGTTCATGTTCTATTTTCCCTGCACAGTGAAGGCATTCACACAATCATTCACAGTACATAAAAACGCAAATTTCGAGTATTCATGGTAAAAAAAAGTGGAAGGATGATAACTAATGGAACAATGTAGATGTTAAGTGAATCACATCAATGACCAGAAACACCAAACTCCTTCAATCATACAAAAAGTTGTGATATAAAAGCATCTTCCTATAGCTTTCTAAGATCAGTTTTTTCTTTTGTACAAGAATTATTACGGGATGGAGGATTCGAACTCATGACCTTGATTGCAAGATAAACGCTCTTAACTACTCGAGCTACAAGCCGCCTTGTGATTTCTAAGACTCTTCAAAGCCCGAAAACAATGCATTTAATTGGGTATTTGGAGCTGAACAAATTGTAAATTCATAAATATTAACACCCAATTTTTCCAACTTGGTAATAATTATTCAAAGCAGATTCTTTACCCAGAAAAACAATAAAAGCGATTAAATTTTTTGAATGGCAGGTAAAAAACAGTATCAGACTGAACGCTAAAAGAGAAGGGACGGGATAATATTACTTTTGAGTGCAGAAACGGTGTCGTTGGGGTCGATGGTGACGGCGATGTGGGTGCCGAGGCTGGTGTCGACGAACACCGTGGCCTCCGCCGTATGGGAGACCAAACTCAAGTTCTCCTTCCTCATTGATCGACCTGGTAACTTCCTATGACTTACAAATAAAAACACAGGAGACCCACATTCCAATGGTTCTTCGTAGGTATTTCAATGGCGGCAACAGTCGGTCTGTGTATATTAACAGGAAGGTGGGTAATGCGCTCAAGGCGTATGCGAAGGGCGGGTATTTGTTTACGGGCCTGAGATAATTCAGGCCCAAAAAGGAATATAAAAGGCCGGGCCAAATTCTTATAGTGACATTTTGCGCTCACTTATAGACTTGAATTTTTATTTATCTATTTAATTTGTTTCATTATAACGACGTACTGAGAAATGAAGAATTTGTATTGTCGATTCTTTTTTAGAGCTCTATACGTGCAATTCCCTCAACATTATATTTTTCATATTATTTTGCACATAATTTTTTATACAATCTTGTATTTTTTTATCTTCTTGTACATCCTTTGAATAATTTTTTGGTTGTGCAAATCAAAGAGAATGATGACCTTTTGTCCCATAATCTCCCACTACTATATATTGTCAAACGTGACACATGTTTGTATTTTCTTTTTATCCCTTCAATTTGTTTTAAGCATAAGCTAGTATAGCGTATGAAATGGATTCAATGTCCAATTATAAAACCTCTGGAAAAAAAGGATGAATCGAGATATAGCTACTACACCAAAACCGGGCGCAATTGGAGATGTGAAGCTGCATTGATTATTTGAATTATGCCTATAATAAACTAGGGAGAAAATATAGACTGGGTGTGAGGTAATAATTCCAAGTTGAGATCCAATTGAGAGATGTTTCGACTCATATTCCCATGTATAAGTGATAAGGAATACTAGTCAAACAATAGTACCAAGCGACAATTTTTTTTATGAGAATAAAATGGAGAATTATAAAGAAAACCAGTATCGCAACCTAGCCTCGTACAAACAAAGAGATTAGAATCGGATATTCCTATCCAAGATGCGCCTGTAAGAAAGGTGCTTCAATTAGTTTGTTCTTGTTAGTCCAACTGAATTAAAGGAAAACTAACGAAAAATGATTGAAAATTTTGAGTTTTAACGAAAAAAACAAAAAAGTGTTGTAAATAAATAGTACCAGGATCGACTTTTTAGAATAAAAATGTAATTTTCGTTAAAGTGAACAGCTTTTCGTTAAAGTTCCCTTGAATTAATGGATCTTCAAACAGTTTGGCTATTTCACTAGAGAGCAGTTCAAGGAATTAACAAGAAAGAAAACAGTTGATCACTAATCAACAACGACCATGGAATTTCAAAACATACAACAGAAGATGAAGTTCAAGCATACAATCAGATTTCCGAAGTCCTAATCCGCTAAACCAAACTGGCATGACCTACCCAACAACGCATCTGAATAACGTAACAGTAGCGTTCGGTCATCTATGCCTGCTTCCGGGAAGAATCTTTCTGCTGTCCTCTCTTCCGAATCCCCAGGCAAAATCGCAGACGCCATGCGTCAACAACAGACTCCGGCAATGAGCATGCCAAACCCCAAAGAAGTGTGTGCGGCCAGTAAGGAGTGCAACGAGGCTCATAGCCTATCCAGCGCAGAGCTGCCCGGGCATAACCATCAGTTGATGGTACAAAGAAGGAAGACCTCCTGATAGATGCCATCTTTGTTGCCACGTACAATGGAACCTGCAAAGAGAAACTCCTTAGTTTATAATGGAAACAACTCGAAGCAAAGTCGATACTAACAATCATCCCTACTCCCTAGTGGCAAGCATCCAATGCTCAACAGATAAGTTGCCAAACTATGGCAATATGCATACGAAGAGTCAGGGTATAAGGGTTCTTCTCAGTGCTCTCAGCCTCCATGTATTAGATACCATTTAATAATTTTGAATGTAGTCTAGGACACGTTTAATTGCCATTTCCTAATGCAACATATCACTCAACCGCAAAGTTTACGCTTAAAATCAGAACCCGGACAGGGTAGCATTCAAAATTAGAAAGGCAGGAAGCATGATGCACAAGACTCTTAAGACTCATTTCAACTATAGCTACTGACATCCTCACTGACTGCCTTTCACATTCAGAGATCTTCAATTTCCATTCAAATCTGTACCAATTGGTCCAATTTTAATTTGTCTTGACATCAGTTTCATTACCGATCACATCTCAACGGTAGTTTTTACAGTTCCCATATACATCAACCTGTGATACAATCAGGTAATACATGACGACCATTGTGATGTACTCATGGACTCTAAAAAGGAAACCAGATAAATGATCCGAAGCTACTTAAACACTAACATATAACTACTATGGTATATGCAGCAGGGGGAAAGATTCTGATAATTTCAAAGTACTTGTAAAGCCAGAGCCACTTTGTGTTTCACTGCATAAAGATATCCACAACGCACCACCTTTCTATAGGTTTACTTTTAATCATTTGAGAGTTGGCTTCAATTACTTACAATTGACTTAATATCAAAGTTATGGATCAAATGAACATTTTCTATTTGCCAAACAAATTGTTGATCAATTACCCGCAAAACCCGAAAACTATACCAACTGAGCTAGCTATCATGATAAGTAAAAAAAAAATCACAGAAACATTACCTGGCACTGCACGTCAATCCCACTTTTCTTGTATTCAACGTACAGGCACCTAGAGAACTGATCAATATACCTGAAAAACGATTACAACAATAAGCACAAATGGATCCCAGATAAAAGAATACACAAAAAATTATGCACGCAAGGGGCTCGTAGCTCAATTAGTTCAACAGCATTCTAAACCCGAACTCGAACTTTGAGTTCGATTTCCCCTCCTCCAATATTGCTTGTATAAAAATAAAATAAAAACAAGAAGTGAAATGGTAGGTGCAATATACTCACGCTTTTGTAGCTGCATAAACAGCATACAGAGGATCCGAGGGGATCACAATCGCAGCACCCGAACCAATGTTTACAATAGCACCTCTCTTCCTCTGCACCATCCCCGGCAAAACAGCCTGAGTAACCTTCGTAGTACCTTCGACATTAACCTTAATCAAGTTCCTCAGCAGCTCCGAATCCACCTCATGAAAGAACCGAGCATACGGGTACGAAATCCCAACGTTGTTAATCAAAAGTCCCACATCCAACCCTTCAATCGTCTCCCGAATGCGCCTGACGCCGTCGTCGAGGTCGCCGGTGAAGTCGACCACGACGGTCTTGATCTGGGTTTTGCCGTACTTGGCCAGGACAGTGTCCGAGACGTCCTTGAGCTTGTCCGGATTCCGACCTACCAAGATCAGATTGAGCCCCTTCCGAGCCAGTTGGAAGGCCAAGGCCTTGCCAATGCCATCGGTGGGTCCGGTGACGAGTGCCCAAGATCCGTACTTTTTGAGATTCTTGGCAGGTCTAAGGAAATTGACGTAGACCCATTGGAGGAAAGAGAGAGAGAGTTTGAGGAGAGAGAAAGAGCCGAGAGTGAAGAGCACAAGAACCCAGACAGGCTGAGCCTTGAGGTGCTCGAGTAAGTAGGAACCCATGTCTGTTTCTTGCTTTGGATCTGAATTCTTGAATTCTGAGATTTGGGTTTTTGGAATTAGAGTGGGGAGAGCGGAGGGAGTGGCTTGAGGAAGAAGAGCATATCAGGGAGTGAACGGTGGGATTAAATTTATAGAAGCGTCTGAAACTGGTACAGAGGAAATGTTGGATGAAGTTGTTGAGCGGATAACCACCCTAATTAACTACCTCTGTTTCCAGGGGGACGATGAACGACAACTACATTTTATTGTGTGTTTGTACAAGTGAAGGAAATTTCTTGGTTTACCAATTGTTTAGAGATGAAACAGTTGTATTCAATTGAGATTTAAAAGATTTTAATTGTTTTAATGAATTTTAAGGGTATTCAATCAGGAATTATGTTGTATTTAATTAGAATTTAAATTTTTTTGAAATCCGAATGAATTCAATTAGGAATTTAAAGAAGATTATAACATTATTTCAGGTGTATTCAATTAGAAATTGATTTTAAAGAATTTTAGAAAGTTGAGCAATTAGAGAGAATTAGAGAGATTTCACAGTGTATTTTAAGCATTCACAAATTTCACATCTCCCATGAGATTTCGAGAGAATTGAATCAAAATTTTATATGAAATCTCTACAAATCAATTAAACTACATAAAAATCCACGGATTTATAAATCCATCAAAATCTCTCAAATTTTAAATTGAATACATCCATATTTTCCTATTTGAAGAAATGACTTTTGGCAAGCAACAAGGTGGTTATACAATCATCTTAATAATTGGGCGTTTACAATTTTGGCAAACAATGTGGTTAATTTTTTCAATCATCATTTGATGTTTATTTATGCAAAAAATTTAATAAAGTTAGCAATCGTTTCGGTCATCTTCAATGAGGTATAACGTTCAAATAAGGTAAAAGCTAAATTTGAATGTCACAAGAAGAAGGAAAGTCATCTATGTTAACATTCAATGTTGAAACAAGTAACGTTAACTCTTTTTTTACATATAAGCATTGTGGGAAAGAAAAAATCGACCTAAAACTTTAAGTGCACATGTAATATTGTTAACAACTTAAGCTACAAACTTCTACATAAACTTCTAATTAACTCTTTATTTTGAGGGTCAAATTTGTCTTAAAAAACCCCAAATTTCATTCTCCTTTCTCTTGAATGTTTGTTTTATTCCTTTTCTTTGGCTAAGTGAACAAAATACATCTTACTCAAAAGTTTGGTGGTAGTTTGACTTCAAGCCAAGGCCGACCTTGTTACAGGCGATAGTATCTAAGAATTACATCATATGTTCGGCCATGCATATAATTAATTTGATTCGATTTTGACGAAAATCGGACCTAAAACATCTTTCTTAAAAGTGAAGAAATATATCATTAAATTATAGTATTAAATGACATTTAAAGGTAACTTTTGAATGTGATTTACCAAAATGTGATTCATCTTTTTAAAAAGGCAGTCTTAGAAGGTGCTTGTAACATCCTACATCGACCAACGGAGAGGGGGTGATATGCCTTATATGTACATGCCCACCTCCATATAACATGAGGCATTTTAGGAACTCACTGGCTTTGGAGTTCATCGGAACTCCGAAGTTAAGCGAGTTCGGGGTGAGAGCATTTATAGGATGGGTGACCCACTCGAAAGTTCTCATGTGAATTGCTAGAAACAAAACCGTGAGGACGTGGTTGAGGCCCAAAGCGGACAATATCGTACTACGGCAGAGTCAGACCTGAGATGTAATGGGGGCTCGGAGCGGGATGTGACAGTGCTTTCTTGATTGAATCGTAGGATGGACCTTATTTGTTAAAATTTTGATTGTACACCAACCCATAGAGCTTTCTTCCAGCTTTCTTCCAATGTTGCAGCTATAGCAGTTCGGGGACAGTTCTAGAGGGTAAACTAAAAACTTAGGCATTATTTAATTATCATCTACTAACATGCAATCACAATTTGTCCAACAAGTTTATTTTATTTTTTATTTTTCATACAAGTAATGTTAAGGAAGCGAAATTGAACATAAAATTTTGAGTGCAGAAATAAATACTCTGAATTACTCAAGTTACATACCCTCTTGCAATTTGAATACAACTTGTTGAATCTCAATCTTTTGCTTATATCTCCATGGATTTCATTCATTATATTGGTAATAAAATTATATTAAAGGTGGGTATAGAATGGCCCAATCTTTACCCTGCTTGAGAAGTAAAAGGGACTGATTAAAGTCAAGTGGTAAACCCAACGGCACAATTTTTTGCCAGTGTCTGCAAATAGAGTGTTACTGATAGGGATGTGACACACCACAAAACACAACCAAAACCCATCAAAATTTTTGATGAGAGAAGACTTATTTGTTTTAAATTCAACCACCTTACTCCAATTGCAAGTGACTCTTTACTACAGTGGTGGAAAGGTGTTAAAGATTAACTCAGTAAGGCATCAAATGCAACTAACAATAGACTTTTCCTCGTAGTTTCCAGAGATCATGCCATCCTAACGTAGCTCTCACTTGTGTAGGTGCACCATGATCACGTCATCCTTAACGCAGCTCTCACTTTTTAGAGAAACATTTGTGCTGGGAAGCTATTTATTTTGGTCTCACTCAGCCGGTGTAGGAGGGGCAGCCTACCGAAGTTTCCCTTCCATTTTATGTTGCTAAATTGCTTTGTTTCGCGACTCCTTCAATTGGCCTCTCTTTCGCATCCCAATGAAATACTTAAACATGATCGCATTCAACAACACATCAGGCAGTGCATTTGTTACGAACCACTGCACAGAATGGCTCAAGTAGGGTGTGCACAGATGCTCATAACCAATGCATCTCATGCTTGCTTTGCTATACATCTCTGGTGATGCAACGAAGAAGGAAGTCGGCTTCATCTTTGTCATCTTTGTTGCCACCAAACTAGGAATCTGCATTGAATCGTATGCAGTTGGATTATATATGAAGGACTTCAATAACACCACAATCACATATAGTGATAGACAATTTTTTCCCCAAATTTTGTTTAAATATACATAAATAAAAACAGAGTGCCCCAAGTAGGTAGTATTTTTCTCATTGAACTGGATAAAAAGAAAACATAAAAATGGGAAAAATGAGAACCTGGCACTGAATGTCAATTCCTTGCTGCTTGTACTCCAAACTAATGCATTTTGAGAACATTGATATGTACCTGCCAATGCCAAACCTCACAAGGATTTATGTCACATGTTACAAATTTGACAATATGCTAAGATTAATTGAGAATTCCCGAGAGGGAGCAGTTTTTCAACGTGACTCCCATCGTGACGTGCTGTTACTAATTTACTCGTACTAATTAATCTACCTTTAGTTGACAACTAATTGTACTCACGCTTTGGAGGCAGCATAAACAGTGTATAGAGGGTAAGAAGGGAGGGTCTCAGAGGAGGCAGAACCAAAGTTAACAATTGCTCCTTTCTTCTTCCTCAGCATAACCGGAAGCACTGCCCTAGTGATCCACGTGGCAGCCTCCATGTTGACCTTCACAATGCTCTCCATCAGCTCCAAATCAACCTCATGAAAAAACCTTGCATAAGGGTAAGCCACCCCAGCGTTATTTACCAAAATGCCCACGTCAAGCCCTTTTATTCCTTCCTCTATCGCATCAGCAATTTCCTGCCCAGCAAACTGTGCCAAATCAATGGCAATATTCTTGGTGTGAATTTTTTCACCGTACTTTTCGTGTATTTCGTTGGAGGTTGCTTCGAGCTTCGAAGGGTTTCGACCAACCAAAACTAGGTTAAGGCCCTTGGAAGCCATTTCGAATGCTAGGGCTTTTCCGATTCCGTCAGTGGGGCCAGTGATGAGAGCCCACGAGCCGTACTCCTTGAGATTCTTTGGGGGTCTGAGGAGCATGAGCCAAACCCATCTGAGAAAATTGATGACGGATTTGCAGAGAGAGATGAACCCTAGAGTGCTTACTGCCACTAGGAAAAACTGTTGGAATTCCATTGCCAGCAACCATGGTGGAGAATGTGGTAGGTTTCTTGTTTATCTTTTATACATAAAGCCGGAGGCTCGGTTTGGGGTCATCCAATAATTGGACGAAAATACCCCTCGGCCAATAAAAATTCGTTTGCAGGCCCACACACATTCGTTTGCAGGCCCACACACAAGCAAACTCCATCTGAAAGCCGAAGAATCCAAAGGTAAATCCCTTCGAACTCTTCGATTATGAACGAGCAGTAGCGATACTTCAGGCGGTGCTGCTGCTGCCGCTATGACGTTTGAGCGTTTTGTCCAAATTCATAAAATTGGTTTCGATCACTGGGCTATCTCTTTCGTTTTCACTTTTCTGTTTCTCAAATTTTCTCCTCTCTTGCTTTCCGCTTCGTGCTCTGTTACTCAAATGTTTTTGACAACATCTTCTTTCTTTTACCTTTCGTGCTCTGTCTTGCTGATGAATCTCCCAGACTTGAGATATTTTCTTTTGCTTTAATTTTTTATTATATTTATAGAAGATTTTTTTATATTTTTTTAGTGAGTTTTTCTATTTCCGTTTCGGTTTATTGTGTTCTGGCTGTTGAAGAATGTAAATTTGGATTTGCAAATGGGTGACAGAAATTTGGACCCTGATTTCTCTTCGACGATTTCTATCAAGGTGAACTATAATTCTAGAGTTTCAAAGGTACTGTCATTGTTTTTTGATATGTGTTTTTAGATTTTTGCTTTGTTTTCTCTTTTTTTCTTTGTAATCTTTGATTGAGAAATTCAGATTTCTGTGTTTCAAATTTTCTGGTAAAAATTTGGGGTTAGGAAATTTTAGAGAGGTGGATCACATTGCAGGATATGAAGTTTATGTAATTGGTATTCAGGGGTGGAATAAATTGCAGATACTCCTTTTGTTTAAATTTTGGTTTTTATGTAATTTTCTTTTGACGCTTAAATTAAAGAAAGAGAACATGCAAATTTTTATATTTCTTGATAATGTGTATCTGGGTGATGATGAAATATGCAATTAATTTATTTGCTAATTGGTTCGTTTACGTTTGCATGAAGCAAAGCTCTAAATTAAAGATGTTAGAATTGAACCCAAAAAAAAAAAAATGTTAGAAGTACTTCCAAGCTCTTTAAAGATTTCAAATGCTTTATGATGTCTGCTTCTTTGGCTGAATTGTTGTTGTTCTTATATACTTGGCACATAGATTGTATGCTTATTGCCTACTGATTTGTTAATTTTGATAATGCTGAGTTGTCGCATTCTGTGGTCATTTCAGGAAGTGTGGTAGAATGCAACAATTGAGCATTATCAAATTTATGATCCGACAAATGGTTTTAGCAGTAGTTGTACTTATCATGCTTGGCAACCAGGTTTAGACTGCCCCTTTTCTTTTATTTTGCTCTTCCTTTCTTTCTTTCCTTTTGCTTTGGAGAGGAGAAAACTAACCTTTTGTTTTTGGTTTTGTGGGGAAATAGATATAAGGGTTGGAAAATGAATCTATTAGCATTTCCCCAGTTGCTTTTATTTTGTAATTTTTGGGGGGTTTTGTCTGTGTGCTCGGATGCTGTCTGATTTCAGTTTTTTTTTTTCTTTCAGAAAAAGGAAACGTTGGTGTTCGAATTTTGCAGCTATATGTCAAGATGCAAGCGAAGGCTATGCAGCTGTGTTCCTGTTAATTGCAATTTCATTACATTCAGTGTCCAGATATTCTTAATTCCAACAATTGATTTCATGTAATTGAAATTTTGTTACATTCAATGTGCAGATATTCTCATTTGCTAATTTACTTATCAATCGCCATTTTCCATTGATTAATGCTTATCATCTGCAATCCCCATTGCCCCTGTATCTTAAAGTTTTTCTCTTTCTTCTTTCCCCCTCATTTGGGTGCCTATAAAATTGGCTAATTGTCATTTTTAATTACTTACGGTACTTTAGTTTACAGTCTAGCCCATTCAGGCAATTGCTTTCCCAAAATAATTGTATTTTAAGTAAAATTATTGTGTTTTGGCATGTGTGAAGCTGAATGATATTTTTATCATTTTTTATTTATTTCCTGTACAGAACAGCTTTGATCTTCCACACGACTACTCTCTGTTGCTTCCGAAAGATCTCCGTCTCAATGTAAGTAGGGTTTTTTCAATCTGTGTGGATTACCCAGTTGTTGAATTTGATAGATAATGTGACTTTTGAGATGGCAGAGTTTTTGAAATTGTGTTTTGGGCATGTCTGAACCTGAATGATGCAACCTTTGATCTTTCAAATGGAAGGGTTGTCGATGAGGTTAGTTATTTTTGAGGCTCTGCTTCTGCAAACGTGAACTCTTTAAATGGATATCGAATTTTATGTGAATTTTAGTCATATATCAAACTGCTCTACACCAAACTCTGTGTACTACAACAATTATAATTAGCTCAGTATACAATTTTGTTTTACAGTGGATTTATAATGACCAAAATATATACAAAGCATATGGATCAATTTTTCTAAGCCTTATTAGTTCCCTAAATTGTGGTATTTCATGTTTAATAGTGTTAAATACTTTATATGTTATATTTTATTGTGCTGGTTCGTTCTTTTTGTAATTTTTAATGCTTCTCCACAATATAGCTAAAGAAAGAACACTCTTATGTTATCCACCTTTGTTATTTCTCTTATGGTTGCACTTTTTTGTTTTCATTCTTTTGGTTCTTGCCTAATTGTTATTTCATTTTGGTTTTTTGTTTCTCTATATAGATGTTATTTTGAAATAGAAAGAATTTTCAAGAGCATACTTTATTACAATTTTCCTTTAGTCGGGTTCACAAAATGAAATTCAAAACATCATTTCTATAAGATTCACCCTAAAAACCCTTGCGATGAAAGTAATGGGATTTCAGTTTCCTTGCAGTTATTCAGGTGTCGTTATCTTTCTTAGCCTTCTTTATTTCAAAACTACCTTAACCTCAAGCTCACCTGCAAGTTCCTGCTCACCAGGTATTACAAAGTGATAAGAAATTGGCTTGCCTTCTAACAACATTACTGTCATATTTGACACTAAAAGCATACTATACATGCAGTTCCCCGTTTTCTATCTTCCTTTATTCTTTTTATTTTTATCTATGTGTAATTATTTATGTATAAATGCAATTCTCAAATATTGTAAATCTAAGTTAGCCTAATAATTTTAACATGCAAGGAAATAGCTTTGTCCAGCAAGGAAATACCTCTTCGCAACCCACTCAATCCCACAAAACTTTTACTGCTCTTAAAAACATTATCTGCTCAAGTAAGTTCTCAGTTTCCATATACTTTTTATTTCTTGATATCTAGGTGATTTACATAGCTTTCAACCATTAGATCACATAACTTACATTTATAATTCTATTGATTCTGATTGTTTAAATAAATGTCTTTTTCTTGCCAGCTAGATGATGTCATGACATGGTTTAGTGGTATTCAATACAATTGGAGAAACTGTCTCTTTAATCTACTCATGTTGTGGGATTTCAAAAATGAAAACCACTTGCTTTCAATCTTTTGAAACAAATCAGCTTTGTAAAGTAACAAAACAAGAATATTCCTAGAGGGAATACAATTGTCTGCTTTGCTAAGGTAGTTCTATTTAGGTTGATCAATGTTATAGTACACCTTTTTGTGGATTGTTTCAAATTTTAGAATTTTGTATTCAAAATTGGGTTTTTGTAAAAAATTTAGCTACAATTGTCGATCAATCTAGAGATTTAATTCAACTTCAAATTTCGTAGTGTGATGCTGATGTTTTATTTTATCTTTGGATGGAGTGAATGTCCAGTTACTTTAGTCCTTTGCTGAAGTCTACAATTGAGTAGAACCAATGTCGAGTATCAATGGTGACGAAGATCTTGATGAATGAAAGGAGACTAGAGTCTCGATTCTTATTCCTCGAAGCCGGTGCTCAACCTACGATAAGGTTTTTTCTTAACACATCTAATTTTTTAGTTTTCAGTCATTTTAATGGATAGTTTGGTATTTCGGCGGCTTTGATCTTTGATTTGAAATATGTGATTTTGTCTAATTCTTTATGATCCTCAATTTCTATTGATGTTTAGGGTTTAATGAAGATTCCAGAATGAGGTTGGTCAAGACCAAAAAAATGGTATGTGTCAAATTTTTGTTTTTCTATTCCTTTAATTTTATGCAGAGTTTTGATGTGCTACTTACCTAATTGGGTACGTTGTATACATGCATGACCTGATGGTATTCCGTTAAATTACTTATATGCATGGTTCTAAAAGACACTCGGTGCTAGTCGGGTGACGGGCTGGTGCCTAGTGCCTAGGCGGCTAGGCACAGGCGGGGGCCTAGGTGAACTAGGCGGATTTAAATTAATTTATTATATATCATATAAATAAGTGTCCATTATATGATAAAAAAGTATTAGTTGACTAATATATCATCCCTTTATTAATTAAAATACTAAATAACATAACTTAAATGGACAACAACTAAAAAAAATAAGCAAAATACAAGAAGTAAAATACATATTAACATAAGATAATAACTAATACTTAAACCCTTGAAAATGGATAAGCATATTAACACCAGAATCTCAATTCCACCGCTACAATAACTCTTGGGTATGAATATTATATTAATATTCAGAAAATAGATTTAAACTAAAGTAAAGAAAAGTTAGAAAATCAAAGTTAGAAAACCAGTTAACAGGAAGAAAGGAAAAGATTCCAGACTTGTGACTCTTCACGTATGTTTGATTTATAGGCCTCTTGAATTTTGAATTGTGATTGGAAATTACAGTCCGCACATGGAGTATAGGTAAAATCACTACTTATTTTTCGTATTACTTTTCCTTTAAATGTCTTTTGAGTCTGAGATTGAGTCTCTATAGATTGTAAATTTCCGACACGTATGCATACTTCAGTCCATACAATAAAGCCAATGTTTTTCTTTTAGATATAAAGAACCAAATACGTTATATATATATATATCCTCAACGAATGCTTTGCTGTTTTTATATTCCATTGTCAAGCCCTGAAATTAGAACATAGGTTTTTCACATGAAATTGAATTTTTCCATGATTGAGAACTCTCTTTTTGTTCAAATTGTGTCACTAGTTTTGTGTTTTTTTTTTCATCGGGCAGGTGGACTTAAAAGACATCAAGCATGTAGGGGAGTGGTAGGATTATCATTTTAGAGGTAGACTCTCAAGTTAAACTTCTATTCTGGTCTTTTTATCATTAAATTTTGTGAAAACATTGTTTAATATAATCCTTATTGCAATACAAAATAATAGGTACAAGACTAGCTAACCAAGAAGCTTATAATAATCTATTTAATGCTGAAATCTTATTTGACCACTTTGTTGGAACTAGAGTGTTTTTACCAAGACTCTCTTTAAAGACCACGGAAAGCGGTGGACTCCTATTTGAACTGACGAGAAAACAGTTTTATGTGAAATTGAGTTTTGCACTAACCATGTTGTGTAGAAAGATATTTTGCTTCCATTAAATATATGATAAGGAGAAAAGGAATTTAAATCTCCCAATCTCACACTCTTAGATGGTGCTTGTGAACAGGAAGAAGAAAAGGAGATTGATGATGATGACGATACAATATGCCCATCAGGCGAGTTGATTGAGGGGTAATTATCTGAACAAAGAGAGAGGTCGGAAGGGTTCAGATTTTTTTATTTTTATTTTTAGTGTGGTGGGAGTTGAAGGAGATAACCTCGAACAACAGTTTTGTGGACAAGTCCAGATTGACAGAGGATTTTGGTTTTGACTCTCTGTGTTCGTTCGAGTTTGTTGAAGAAGAAAACATGTCGCAATCGTCAGACTCAGAACAGGAGCTTGGTGATTCTTCACAAGATGAAAAAGAAATCTTTGATGTTATTGAACGCTTTGGCGGTGTGGTTGAGAATCTCTTCTCAGTCGTATTATAGAGGAGTTTCAGACGCTACAGAACAAGTTGAATTCAAGGATACTGAAAAGAACAAGAATTTGTTAAAGTATAGCATGAGGAAAAGGTTGGGATCCGTATTGGTCAAATGTGAGGCAAATAGTCGAACTACCAATTTCAAGTCAAATATGAAAGTTTCTTAAAGGTCTTTATTTCATGGAAAGAATATTGGGAAAGTCAATTTTAGCAAGTATGTGAGTGGAAAGAAGGGAGATAAAAAAGTTCAAAGGGGCATTGTCAAACTTAATGAAGATAAGTAGCTGGAACGTTAGAGGTCTGGGAAGTAGGCAGAAAAAGGGTATCTTCGAAAGAGCAGTTTCGTTGCTTAAAGCCCGACATCGTAATTTTACAAGAAACCAAGAAAGCATCACTAGAGAGAGTGGGTTTCCGCCCCTGCACAAGGAAGGTCTGGGGGTATAGTAGTGATATGGAACACAAAACAAATCTTAGTTATTGAACCTTTGGTTGGAGTTTTCTCAATCTCCATAAAAATTAAAGCATTGAATGGGTTGGACTGGTGGCTATCAGGGGAGAGAGAAGGGAGTTTTGGGAAGAAATGGCAAGTCTTTATGGGCTTTGTGGACCAAGATGGTGTGTAGGAGGAGATTTTAATGTGGTGAGATATGTAAATGAGAAATCAAGTGGGGGAAGGACGACTACAAGCATGAGGACCTTTAACGAGTTTATTCAAGATACAGAACTCAAAGATCTAGATTTGCTCAATGCTCAATTTACTTGGTCAAATTTTAGAGAAGAAGCAGTGTGTCGGAGGTTAGACATATTCTTGTTCTCTGTTGGATGGGAAGAGATCTTTCCAAATGTAAGACAAAAGACTTTGGCAAGGGTAATTTCAGATCATTGTCCAATCGAGCTGGATACTAACAAGGTGAAATGGGGGCCAAATCCTTTCAGGTTCGAAAACATGTGGCTACAACACCCAGACTTAAGGAACAAATTCAAACAATAGTGGCAATCTAAGTAGGTTGAGGGCTGGGAGGGTTATAAATTTTTGAGTAAGTTAAAAGCTCTTAAAAGGAAGTTGCAAAGATGGAGTAAGGAGATTTTTGGTGATGTTGAGAAAGATATTAAGGAAGCCGAGGCTAGTTTAGAGGAATTAGATATAAAAGAAGGGATGGAATGGTTAGATGATGCTTCAAAAAGAAAGAGGGAAGAGTTACTTTTCCTTGTGGAAGATTTGGCTTTCAAGGACGAAGTGAAGTGGAGGCAAAGAAGTAAAGTGAAGTGGGCTAAAGATGGGGATGGTAACACTAAATTTTTTCATAAAATAGCAAATGGGTGAAGGAAGAGAAATTATATAGAAAGATTGGAAGTGGAAGATGGTGGAGTGGTAGAGGATACAGAAGAGATAGACAAACAAATCGTCAATTTTTTCAAGTCCCTGTTTAGCAGCAATGAAGAGGTGTGTTGGGGTTTGGAAGGCATTAATTGGTGCTCAATAAGTGAGTATAAGGCAGCTTGGCTTGAGAGGCATTTTGAGGAATTGGAAGCTCAAAGAGCAGTTTTTGATTGTGAAAGGGATAAGTCGCCAGGTCCAGATGGGTTCTCTTTGCTAATGTTCAAAATTGCTGGGATATCTTGAAAGTAGATATTTTGAAGGTGATGGAGGAGTTCTTTGATAAAGGGATAATAAATGCGGTGACAAATGAAACATTCATTTGTCTTATTCTGAAAAAGTCAGATTCTTTGAACGTGACGAACTACAGGCCTATAAGCCTAGCTACTAGTTTATATGAGATTGTGGCGAAAGTGCTTGCATCAAGACTAAAGGACGTTATGGGTAGCACAATCTCTCTAAATCAAGGAGCTTTTGTTAAAGGTAGACAAATTTTGGATGCGGTCCTTGCAAATGAGGTTGTAGAAGAGGTGAGGCAAAAGAAAAAGGAGGGATTGATGTTCAAGATTGATTTTGAAAAGGCTTATGATCATGTGGAGTGGAGATTTTTGGATGAAGTCTTACAAAGAAAAGGCTTTGGCAATAGATGGAGGAGAAAGGTGCAAGGTTGTCTAAGTTCCGCAAATTTCTCAGTTTTGATCAATGGGAGGCCTAGAGGAAAATTTAAAGCTTCAAGAGGTTTGAGACAAGGTAATCAACTATCACCTTTTCTTTTCACCTTATTAGTTGATGTCTTGAGTAGATTGCTGGAGAAGGCACAAGAGAATACTATGATCAAAGGTTTGTGCATTGGGCAAGAAAAGGTTGAGATTTTGCATCTTCAATTTGCTAATGACACCATTTTTTTCTTGGCGGGGGCTGAGGGAGTTTGGAAAAACTTATTAGAGTTGCCCAATTTATTTTGTACTGTTTCAAGTTTGAAAATTAACAAAGCAAAGTGCTCTTGGCTGGAATAAACTGGGATTGTGAGAAAATTAAAAGGATGGTAGATTCTTGGGGTTGTGAGGTGGGTAGTTGGCCAATAACATATTTGTGTCTCCCTTTTGGGGGAAGGCCAAGAGCACTTACGTTTTGGGATCCAGTTGTAGAAAAGATGGAAAAAAGACTTCAAAGTTGGAAGAAGGATTTCTTATCTAGAGGTGGTAGATTAACTTTGATTCAATCTGTTTTGGGAAGTTTGCCAATTTATTACATGTCTTTGTTCAAAATTCCTTGCGGGGTGACTGGACGGTTGGAAAAACTACTAAAAGGGTTTCTTTAGGAAATGGGTAGATGAAGGAAAGGAAAACCATTTGGTGAAATGGGAGGTAGTTATAAAAAGTAAGGAGGATGGGGGTTTAGGTGTGGGGAATTTGAGGAAACGGAATGAAGCGTTATTGGCTAAGTGGTTGTGAAGATTCCCAAAGGAATCAAATTCTCTCTAGCACAAGGTAATAAGAAGCAAGTACGAGTTGCAGGATAATGGGTGGGATGCAAATCCTTCGCTGCATGTTTCAAGTCGTAGCCCTTGGAAAGATATTTCATCTGGTCTTCAATCGTTCCTAGAATGCTGCAAGTTTAAGGTGGCCAATGGGGAGAGGGTGAGGTTTTGGGAGGATGATTGATTGGAAGGTGGACCATTGAAAAAGTAATATCCTAGATTATTCTTGTTATTGAGAATGCACAACCAGATCATTTCAAGTTTTGTGGATTGTTTTCTTTCATTCTTTGACCTGGAATTTTGATTTCAGGAGAAATTTGAATGAGTTGGAGATAGAAGAGGCGGCTAGGTTATTACAGAAGCTAGAAAATGTTTGTTTGATTCAATCAAGAGCGGATAATAGAAGGTGGAAACTAGAATTATCAGGATTGTTTACTTGCAAATCTTATAGCTCTTTCTTGAGCAACAATGGAACTGTGCAACATTTTCCACCTTTTTCTCAGATTTGGAAATCAAAAGCTCCTCAGAAGGTCAAAGTTCTTGTGTGGTTCGTGGCTACAAGGAAGGTCAACACTCATGATCAAGTTCACAAACCGAAAACCGAGGTCGAAAAAAACCCGACACCGAAATTACCAAACCGACAAACCGAACCGAAAATTGGTTGGTTCGGTTCGGTTTTGCGGTTTGGAAACCGAACCGAAAAAAAAAAATCATATATAATACTCAAAAATACACGTGTTGCCGTCGGGTTTGAACCCTTTCCTACGGTTGGGTTGGTTGTTGCACGCCAACTTGACTGTAGGCTTTGTTTGTTATAATTGTCCCAGTTAATTTATTTATAGGTTTCTGGGTTGTGCTTCTTGGTTGGTTTGGTGGGGGGTGAAATTAAGTTGAGCAGCTTTTCTCTAAGAGCATAAGTGCTTCTTCTCAGTAACTTGCTTTTGATGGGTGAAGTATTTGCTCATCTTAGAAAATGATGCAAGTCTAGGGGTAAGGACAAAGAGGAATGCATTTTTCTTCCGGCTTAGTAAATTCGTGTGTTTTAGTCTGCTATGCGATGGAGGTTTATCTAGGTCTGATTAATTTTTATGTATACTCTCTGTCCAGTGTCTGTTTTCCTTGTCCTCTAATTTTATAAGATAATGGTATGTAGGATGCTAGAAGATCGTAGGCTAATGCCTGTTTTTTAATGATATTAGCTATTGTTTTAGCAGCATAAAGCATAACAACAGAGCTAAAGAAAATATTTTTCGACTAATATTTGAATGAGTAAGATGGAAGATTTTCGACTAAGATGGCAGATTTTCGAACATATTTTTATATATGAAGACCAGATTTTCGAACATATTTTTACCTGATGGGTTTTCAAGATAATCAAATAAGTTAAGAGATTTTTACCGCTTCTCTCTGCATGCTTCTATGTTCTATCTGTTGTGTGTGTGTGTGTATATATATTATTCAATTGTTTGCATTTATTTTTTCCTTTCGTTTTTACTCAATTTTTTTACTTTTTCTCCACGTGTTGCTTCATGTATGTTTCTCAATTGTTTGAATTTACTCCCTGCCTTCAGTTTTTCAATTTTGGAGGAAAAAAAAAAAAAAAAAAACCGAAAAAAAAACCGAAACCGAACCGAGAAAAACCGAACCGAAAAAAAACCGAACCGAAATTTCGGTTCGGTTTCGGTTTTAAGAAAAAACCGAACCGTTAAGAACCGAACCCAGCCCTAGTCCTAGGACCACCTTGGTCCCTACTTCCATCCCACCTGCTTGCGTTCACATTAATGTTGTATATAATATAAATGAAAGACAAAACAATGATTTAAAGTATAATTTTAGTAACATGCGAACTGGACTAAACACGTGACAATGTTCCCATAACTCACATTAATTTTCCCATTGGTGAATCATATATATGTCCATTGTAACAAGGTTACATTCATTCTTTTAATGTTTAATTCACTTTTCAAATCCACGTACATAAATACATTTAAATTGTATAAATCATGCGTAGAACGTTGTAATTATAAAAGAGCCTTCCACACGCGCATCAGGGAGGCTAGTCAGTAAGAAGGCGTGAGGCGGCCAAGAATAATTAAAGACGCCATGTTTTTGCCTAACAGTGAGGCAAACTAAGAAAAGCATTAATTGCTAGTGCAACTTGCGATGTGTGTGTGTCATTGACCAAAAAAGAATGTGTGTTGCCATGACTGCAATATGATTTTTTTTCAAAAAGATTGATCGTAAAATTTTTTATTTTATTTTTCCAAGCGATATTATCTACACTAAAAGATAGGAGAAGTGGACTAAATCTCACAATAGATTATCAATAATAATTTAATTTTGCATTTGACGAGAATCTAAGCTAAAACCTCTCACTTACAAATAAGGAGGAATATCACTTAGTATTAAGTGGCTGATCGTAGTATTGAAGCTACATTTATTTCTCAATCATCAAAGGGTAACGATAAGGAGAACAAATTTTTAAATTAAATTTTGTAAATCATGTGTCATGATTATTGATAATTGAATTATTACTTAAGTATTGATTAACGTACTTATTTCTTATTGGTGACACATTATTTAGTTTGCAGATTCAATCTAAACAATTCGTCTACCTAGCATTACTCATCATAATAAAATCCACACTTATTTTACATGCATGCAGTGGTGGATCTAGGATTTATTGGGGGTCTGAGTGTTAAATACAAGTTTTTTAGATGGAAATAGAACGCGACGCCCTCAAAAAAAAAAAAAAAAAAAAGTTTATTCACTAAGGTATTTCGTGGAACTCTTGGCGGGCTTGTTGTCAACAACTAAACCATGTTGCACACATGTCAACAGATAACGGCATATGCCGAAGCAATTTGTCGAGTGTTGTCGACGTAACCTATCGAGATATGCCTAGCATGCATTATATCCAACATTTAGTAGGCACAAAAAAAACTCGTACCAAACATTCCTAGAGCACCATAGATATTTTTCGAACTCTGAGTGGTCCTAGGACCACCTTGGTCCCTACTTCCATCCTACCTGCTGGCGTTCACATTAGTGTTGTATATAATATAAATGAAAGACAAAATTATGATTTAAAGTATAATTTTAGTAACGTGCGAACTAAACTAAACACGTGACAATGTTCCCATAACTCACATTAATTTTCCCATCGGTGAATCATATGTCCATTGTGATTTTGTTTGTTAAGATTCCTTAGCCACTGCAAACCAAATAACACCTCACAATCTTAACCAAAACAAAGAATGCGCGCACTGGATTTTCATCATTTTCGTGTTGTTTGCTGCATCGTTTTATTGTCCAACCTTTTCAATTGGCCAGTCTTTCGCAACCGATGGGAGTACCAAAAAACCATAGCACTCAAAAACGCATCGGGCAATCCATGTAATATGAGCCACTGCACAGAGTGGCACTAGTAGGGCGAACATTGGTTCTCATAGCCAATCCATCGCATGCTTGCTATGCTGTATATCTGGTGATGGGAAGAAGAAGGGAGATGCCTTCACCATTGTCCGCTTTGTTGCCACGAACATAGGAATCTGGCACTGAATGTCAATTCCATGCTGCTTGTATTTCAAACTAATGCTTCTTGACAACTTTGAAAGGTACCTATATATACAACATAACGCTTGCATTCTTAATCATATAAACGTTTTTTTTTTTTTTTTTTTTTTTTTTAATTTTTAATTTTTTAAAGAAATACATAGTCATAAGGGTTAATATATACGAACTTTGTATTGCAATAAGCAAGAGTCTTTAAAAATCTAATTACGACCCCATTGAAAGAAAAAAAATTCCATAAAAAATAATCGGTTGTATCTAAGATTTTCTCCGATCAAAATTTAAATAAATTAATTGAACTTTCCAAAAGAGTCAAGACATGTATGATATTATCAACATGTTTAATTTCTCCGAAATTAATGTTCAATACACACTTGGGAAGATCTTAGGACTCACAGAGGAGTACTCGTGAAAATGTTGGTGCAATCTTAGGACTCACGTAGAGGAGTACACGTGAAAGTGTTGGTGCCTATGTGAAGTAAAAGTGTAAGGGCTTCAATCTACGAGGCTACATAGACTTTGCACCTAAACACATACTAATGGCCTAACCACGAGATATAAAAATATGAAACAAAGGTTTGGTTAGAAATGATGTGCTCCTCGTCTACACCCAAATTTTAATCTCTTCGATTTTTACGATTATATAATTAAACTTAAAGCAGAATATCGTTTGAAAGAAGAAAAAGTTTAAGAAATAAATGAACTCACGCTTTGGAAGAAGCATAATTGGTGAACAGAGGAAAGGACGGCATGAGAGGCAGAACCAATATTGATAATTGGTCCTTTCTTCTTCTTGAGCGTACTTGGATCTCCATCAACTCCCAATCATCCACATCATGGATAACTTACCAAATCTGTAAGCCACTCCTGCACAATTTACCAAAATACCAACATCAAGCCCTTTTACCTCTTCCACTAGACCTGGCAGTTTCTGACACAATACGAAAATAACAGGTTTCGGGTCAACACGATAACTAATCGGGTCATTATCGGATGACCCGAATTCTTAACGGGTATACACGCGGGTAACACTGTGGGTAACCTGTTTTGACCGCTAAGAAAAAAATTATTTTGATAATTTTAAAGTTTAATTACTAAAAGATTGATTATAAAATACAATAGTCATATTAATATATACAATATATTCTATATTAAATATATATAGTTTTGTATTATTATTCTATATAAGTTAAAAAAAAAAAGTTTTAGTCATTATTTATTTTTATTATGAGAGTTCCTTATTATCATTACTAGGATAAATTTTACTTAACATGTTGTTGTCCAAAATGAAAATAAACTAGTATAATATTTGTATAGGCAAAAACTAAGAAGACATACATACAAGTATGAAAAATGTGAAAGAATATATAAACACTCGTGATTCATAGATAATGGTTACACTTACATTATCGTTTAGATTTTTAAAATCCTCCAAACCCTCGTGAATAATGTTTTTTTATTTGAGGGAAAAATTAATAAAATTAATAATAATTATTGTAAAATGTAAAAAAAAAAAAAAAACACAATCACTCATAGTGACAAGCTTTACAACTTTCATGAAAGGGTCAGCTTCAAAATTCTACACTATAATCCATAAACCTTAATTTTATATTTAACCATCGATTGTCATTTATGCTTTATTCTTCTTACTGAATTTCATTTTTAAAATTTTCTTTTTTGAAAACAGTATCATTTGGCGAATGTAAGAAGATGAACGGTTCAGATCTTTGATATCAAGTTTCGATATTTACGGTTAACTAAAATATGAGTCGATGTATATAGTTTGTAGAAACTTTATAAACATCAAGCAATATTTTCACTAACCGTAAAACTTTGAATATAATATCAACTATCCAAACTATTCATCTTCCTACATCCTCTAATAGATCATGTTTTCAAAAAAGAAAATCTGAAAAAAAAAAAAAATTTGATGAGAACAGTGAAGCATAAATGTAAACAACAATCAATGGTTAAATTTTGATATATGATTTATATGATTATAGTGGCGAATTTTGAAGTTAAGCTCTTTATGAAAGTTGTAAAGTTTGTCATTACAAGCGTTTATATATATATATATATATATATATATATATTTTTTTTTTTTACACTTCTACATTAAGTAAAAAACTATTAAAGATTTTACTTAAATAACAACCATAAAATAAATGAAAGTAAATCTATACCGTTGGATTCTATTTCACTTATATTATTAGAATTTTTTTGGACGAAAAAACCCTATCTCTATTCCAATATTTTCCAATTTTACCATTTGATCAATTTAGGTAAGCGAAAATATATTTAAAAGAAAAATGCGTTTTTATGTTTTGGATGTGACAATAGGGTATGTATGTACTTATTTAGTATTATGTTTTTCATTTGATTATTTATTGGTTTAAAATATATTTTCCTTAACGGGTAACGGGTCTGGTCATATTACATGTTAATATTATCGGGTCGATTTTGGATCGGGTCATTTTACCCATTTATTATAACGGGTGTTACACGACACGACCTGTTAAGATATCGGGTATGACACGAACATGGAAAACACAACACGAATGCCAGGTCTATCTTCCACCATGGAATTAGCTATTTCCTCCCCACTAAACTTTGCGAAGTCCATGAATATTCTTAAGGGAACTTTTTAACGAAAAACCATATTTTTATATTAAAAAGTCAATCATGGTACTATTCACTTTACCCTTATCGTTAAAACTCAAAATTTTCAATAGTTTTCCTTATTCTTAATGCCAATTTTTCCACCATATTTTTCACGTATTTCATTGGAGGTAGCTTCAAGCTTTGAAGTGTTTCGATCAAGCAAAACTAGGTTAAGACACTTTGGTCTCATTTGGCACGCCGTATAAAAGATCGGATAATATAAGTAATACAGTATAAGTTGTTTGGTGCTCATATGTACTGATTAAGCATTGGATAAATTAAACCGGTCCCACCATTTTAATACCCTCACACCCGCTAAGTTGTACTCCCCAAAACCTCCGTATAATTTAGTCGAGTCACAAATTCAACCTCTCTGCTCGCATCGCGAAACCTCATCCAAGTATTCATTCTCTTTTCTCCCTCCTCACCTCCGATCAACATCATACAAACAGAAAATCCGAGGTGACAAATTAAACCCATGCCATGCCGTCCCTATTCAGACATCCATGGTGGCGGATCGAACTAGAACCGAAGAGCCGTCTTCGCCACCTAAATCAACTCATTCTGAGAACCCGCATCATCGCCGCCCTTGACCCATTGCTTTTTTATAACTGCTTGCACCATCATCTTGCACACAAGTCTGCCACTGCTATTGTATCTTGAAACAAGATCCCATGGTTGCGAATTATTGCCACCTTGAACCACTGCACGAACCCAAACCCAGAAACCACAAAATCCATTGCGTCACCCCCGCATCGTACCTAGACCCAATTGCTATCAACCATTGCAGGCCACTGGGGACAAACGCTGCCAAAGAATAATCCTTAATTTACCCTTTTTTTTCAAATTAGGTTTTGCTATAATTTGGGGCTTTTCATTTGCTTCTTATCGTGAAGATAAGATTTGCTTCCTGTCATTTTTTTTTTAAATTCAATTCAATGCCAAACACAATATAAATAACGAAGCCTTTGAAGCTATTTCGAAGGCAAGGGTCTGTTGATTCCATCAGAGCTCGTAAGTGCCTGCGAGCCATACTCCTTGAGATTCTTTGGGGGTGTCAGGAACGTGACCCATACCCATCCGAAAAAATTGGAGGAGGATTTGCAAAGAGAGATGAACCCTATGGTGGTTGCCACAAATTCATGTAATTCCATTATTGATGTTGCCACGTGGTGAGTAAAATCAAGGACTTTGTTTTTGTAGAGAAAATTTTAATTGTGGTGGGAACACAAGTGGTACACCACTTGTTTTAGTAAAAGTGGTGAGAAATTTTATTTTTAAAGTTATTAACTTTTAGCACACATATCATATTATTCGTATAATGACACGTAATGTGCCACTTCGTATACCGATCACTACTGAAAAATCTCTTGTTTTTGTAAAGAGACTGAACGACAAGTTTAATGTTGAGCAGCTGAAAAAATGGACCATGCCATTGAGTATGATGGTGAGAAGAAAGAAGAGTAGTTGGATGTTGCAAATGCTAGAGGCTGACACAAAACTTCAATGATTTGGCCAAAACGTCTTTTTGGTTAGGTGGGTTGCAAAAACTTTAAAAACTGCAAGTGCATGACCCGCTATTTATTTCACCTTTTCTTTTTGTTTTTTTGTTTTTGGTTTTTTGTTTTTGTAACATGAATTCATGAAAGCCCAACGGCACTGAAGAAAAACCCACAATAAACCATACTTATATTATATGAGAGATTTTTTCAAATAAACCATACTTATATTATATGAGAGATTTTTTCAAGTATTGGGTATTTAAGCGGTATTCTACATGTTATAATATAATGAGAAGAAATGATATATTTTTTTCGTATTCCTATGCTTATTTTATGACATGTATACTACCTATTTAAATACCGGGCACTGAAAAAATTTCTCCTATAATACTGAGACTATTGTAAGTTAACTACTCTTTCATTGCTTACGAAAATGTAAATAAGTTACGGATAAATCAAAAGCGCTTTAATTAAGTTACGTGGTAGAAAAACTTAAATAGTAATATCACAGTTCCTCTCATGTCAATTCATATATAATCTAAGATTAATTGCATAAACTTGTCTGCTCACACGAGAGAAATAACAAAGAGTGTCATTTTTTGGTCAAAAAACAGAGTACGTATTATATTAGTTCTTCATGGAGTTTCTTCCCCCTTCTTTTTAAACCAATAGAGAGGCGCCAAGCATCGAGAAGAGAGTCGGGGGCCAAGCGCGAGAAGAACCACTGGACTGAGTGAGCCCAGAACGGTGAGCAGCGAGGTTCGTAGCCAATCCGCTGAATGGCTGCCTTTGCATAAGCATCTGGGGTTGGTATGAAGAGGGAGGGCCTCTCGATCGAAGCAACGCTCGACGCCAGTTTTGTTGCTACGTATAATGGTACCTGACTTTGCACATCAATTCCGTACCTCTTGTATTCCACGTGGAGGGATCTAGACAGTTGATCCACAAAACTGCATAATATATGTATTAGAAAACTTCATTTTAATCCCTAAATAAGATTATTTTTTAGTAATACCATATGGAAGATTAAAAACTAAAAATAGTCATTCACGTCAGATTATAGTATTCCATGTCATATTTAATCATTTTTTTTATAGAATTATTGTAGTTTTAGTTTTCCTATTTACCCTTAGGTACAAATCAATGTTTTAATGTTTTGTATTTATTGATTCTTCACATCTCTTGTCACATCCCGGCCCGGGGCAGACCACTTCCCGGGCCCGCTCCACCACCGTAGCACGATATTATCCGCTTTGGGCCTCGACTACGTCTTCACGGTTTTGTTTCTGGGAACTCACACGAGAACTTCCCGATGGGTCACCCATCCTGAGAATGCTCTCGCGCGCTACTCGCTTAACTTCGGAGTTTCGATGGAACCCGAAGCCAATGAGCTCCCAAAAAGCCTCGTGCTAGGTAGATATGAGAATATACATATAAGGATCACTCCTCTGGGCGATGTAGGATGTCACAATCCACCCCCTTAGGGGTCCGACGTCCTCGTCGGCACACCACGACCAGGGTTAGGCTTTGATACCAAATTGTCACACCCCGGCCCAAGGCGGACCACTTCCCGGGCCTGCTCCACCAATGCAGCACGATATTGTCCGTTTTGGGCCCCAACTACGCCCTCACGGTTTTGTTTCTGGGAACTCACACGAGAACTTCTCGATGGGTCACCCATCCTGGGAATGCTCTCGCGCGCTACTCGCTTAACTTCAGAGTTCCGATGGAACCCGAAGTCAGTGCGCTCCCAAAAGGCCTCGTGCTAAGTAGAGATGATAATATACATATAAGGATCACTCCCCTGGGTGATATGGGATGTCACATCTCTCGATAGAACTATGTTTTTTTTCAGTGATTTCAGTTTTATTACTCATCATCAACTGCACCTATAGTGTTGTGAAGCTGTTGTGATATTGACTGGCAATTTCCACGCTTTTGAACCATTAATCCAATCTGGGCTTGCTGATTAGTGTTGGATTTGAAGGCAACCCATTGTTGTAAAAAGCATTGTCAAGCTCAAAGAACTGAGCAAACATATATAAGTTTTTCAATTGCAGCAATGGCTAATCTGCTGTTGTTCATAATCAAATATAAGTCATCAGGTGTTGTTTGGAATCAAACATAAGTTTTTCATACCTTATTGACTGTACCGAAACGATTGAACCTATCCTAAATAACGTTCTTAACTGATCATACTGAATCAATCGGAGCTAAATGACCGTATAAAAATTCAAAAAAATGATGGCACTTTACAGATAGCAAATACTTTAGGCCATAGCCTCAATCCCTATCCAGCTACGATGTACATTACACTATTTTTCAATGAGATTTCATCCCCCACCTTCGCATCGCATCCTATTCTACTTACAATGTTTCCATTTGTGCTTCAGATCCTATATAGCGTACCTAACTGACTGTACTGAATCGATCGGACCTAATTGGTCGTACCTAAATTAAAAACAAAACCACCAAAGGAAAATTTACCACATACGCTTTCAACAAACGCATGGTGTGCATTGCAAAACAATCTATTTTTGCTAAAACAATGATTAAGACAACAACAACACAAACCATACCAACTGTTGTGTTGATTAAAATAATAAAAATACAAACCGCAGCTTACAAGTGATTCTTGGGTTCCAACGAAGGCATCGAATCGTTAAGCCGAACAATAATTTCTCTTTTTATTGTAGCTTCAAATAGATTTTTATGGAGTTGTAGAAGGTAACAATACCTAAAATACTATTTTGTGACAGTTGCCATTTTAAAATTTGAAAATTTTCATTGATTACAGGTACAATTGTAGCCTGCTTTCATGTCTTGTTTTCAATTATGTGACATGAATGTTTTCACGCCCCATCTATTACGTTTCTGAAATCAGGAAGTGTAGGTTACATTCTAAAAAATTAAGATGGTAACCATGTAAATTGTGGTAAAATATGTGGTATTATTATAGGTGACATGTCATGATGCATTAAAATGAATGATCTTTTTTAAATGTTAAAAACCTTGCATGTTATATTCTAAAAATCATCTTTAATAAGTCCTTATCTCTAAAAGTCCCTAAAAATGATAGTAAAACCAATCCAATTAGACCAATTAATAAGAGTAAATAACAATTAACTAGATATGTAAAATGTGTTCGTGATCGTTAAGCATGGCCAACAGAAAAACAGTTAGTTAAAGGATATTTTGACAAGCTAAAAACGATAACAAAATAAAAAGTGGCATTTAAAAAAAAAAAATGTAAAGTGTTTTTGAAATCTGAAGACAACTAAAAGGCTTGTTTGACGCTACTTTTACCAAAGAAAGAAAATTACTAAATGATAACAAAACAAAATCAAAGGTAAATTTTTTGAGAAAATTTCAAATGGTGCTTTTTCAGAAAAGCATTGACACACATCATTTTTAATTAAAATTTATTGTATTTTTATTTTTTAATAAATCACTACCAAATAATGTGTGTATAAGCAAAATCGTTTTTATTAAAATATTCAGAAATATTTGTCAACTCGTTAGATATACCTTAAATTTTTGGTCAAAAACGCAAAAAATCAAGATCTAATTATTAAAATACCTCAAATATCTTATACCCTCGAGTACCATAAATATTTTTGTGTTTTTATATTCTTTTTTGTACCAGCACACAGCCACAAAGTACAAACTCACAATGGTGTGTTGCACATGCATTATTTAAAGAGTTGGACAACATATTACATATAGGTGGTCAAATTGATCGAGTATTGATTCCCATGAACTTCCAATTAATAGGGATGCTGTACAAAGGTTAATTTGTTAATGCTTTTGACATTGGATGTTTCACATAGGATGAAAACATTACGTTAATGCATGAAATATAAACAAATAACTCAGTAGGTCAAAAGTGTCAGGTGCAAAGCTTTGATGGGCACCCATGAAACTGCATGCGGCAGTATAGCAGAGGAGTAGATGAATACAGTTAATAAGTCGGTTAGATAGTATGGGTTTTATGACATAACAAGATCGAGGGTAGTAGCACGCATTCAATTATAACTTCTTTTCTTTTTTTGATCTAGCAAATTTTGTAAATTCAAGGAAAATATGTGTGTGTGTGTGTGTGTGTGTGTGTGTAGATGTATATATGTGAGAGAGAGAGAGAGATAAATTAACTTAAAATTTGATGCTTACGATTTTGTAGCAGCGTAGATCGTGAAGAGAGGATGAGAAGGCACGGCAATGCCAGCCCCAGAACCAATATTAACTATTGCACCTCTCTCCCTTTCAACCATCCCTCGCACAACTGCCATGCTCACTCTAGATGTACCCTCCACATTCACCTTCACAACATTCATCCACACTTCCTCACCAACCTCGTGAAAGAATCCGGCACTCGGGTATGTAACCCCGACGTTGTTGATCAAAACGCCGATGTCCAAACCCCTGATCTCCTTCTCCAGTTGCTCGTCCAGCCCGTCCAAGCCTCTGCCTGAGAAGTCGAATGCAATGGTTTTTATTAGGGTAGAGGGAGAGTTTGCATGGATTTTATCGGAGACTGATTTGAGCTTGGTGGAGTTCCGGCTGACTAGGACTAGGTTTAGGCCTTTTTGGGCAAGTTGGAAGGCAAATGCTTTTCCTATGCCGTCGGTTGCACCGGTGACCAACGCCCACGAGCCGTAATTTTTCAGGTTTTTGGGGGCTCTGAGGAGGAGGATGAAGACCCATTTGGCCAGAGAGGTGATATGCTTGAGGAGGATGAAGAAGCCAAGAGTGGAAGGAAGGAGAAGCCAGAGGGGTTGGGTCGTTAGGTCATGAATGCATGGAGGCACCATCTTTTTTGGGTTTTGGGGAAAAAAGACAGACTATAGTGTTTCTTATTGGAGTTTGGAAGGAAAATTTGCTTTAATTTTATGGTGCACGTTAGAATATTTATTAAGGGGCATGTTATGTTAGGTTCACTTTTGTGCGGGTGCATTTTTACTCACTACCCATAAGTGGTAGTAATGCTTATCACCTTATTTATTACCATTTGATAAGTTTAAATTACTATCACTTGAGGATAGTGAACAAAAATAATCCCTTAAGTGCAGGAAACAAGTGATTAGTTAAGGGTCATGTTCCTTTATCTAATGATGGATGCTAACAAGCTTTTCATTCCAAAGTTCTTTTTCTATTTTTTTTTATTTTTTATAAATTAGAAAGTAGACGGTTTTAATCTTCGTATCACATCTTAGTATAACAAGGATAGTCGGAAAGGCAGAACAAAAAGGTTTAACTAAAACGGTGTTGAGGAAAAACTAAGAATACACAACTCTAACACAAGTGTTGGAGAGACAAACAAGTAAACAAATTATTTGTATTGCACTCACAAAATATTACAACACACACTCTCAAGGACACACTTTAGAAGCTATAACACTCTCTGACTTTCCAGGGACACACTCGAGACCACTCACACTCCTACAAGACTACTCTTACTTCTCACTCTCACTTGGTTGCCTACTTGCTTGATTACTTGGTTTCTTTATTCTTAATTGATACAAATGGTGTGGATGTCTTCTCCTTTTATAGGCATGGATGGAACCTTGGAGAAGCATGGAAACATCATGCTAGAGATATCTAGATAATTCCACTATCTTCCTAAACTAGAATTATCTACACTAATTTTGCATGTTGGTGGAAACCTCAGCTTTCTTCTAGACTCTTCCACCAACTTAAGAAACAACATTCTAGTCCTTTCTACAAAGGACTACTTTAACTTGGATAACCTAGCTAATCAACTTTAGTGAATGTTCTAGAATTCTTTATTCTAGATTTGTGTAGGTCTTTCAATGAGATGGGGTTGATTTCTTTAACAAGCGGTAGGTAGCATCCCCATATAATATACAGTTGGTTTGATTCAGAAATTTGGTAATTTGGTTTAATTAATGAGGTGTTTGATCAAGGGAAGATGGTAACGAGATATAAAATGTAATTACCAGAATTGCAATTCCAAGGGCTTTGAAGACTGAGGCCACGGCTGCTGAAAAGAACGAGTGTGGTTTGCATTGTTTCACCTGTAACATTCATGCAGTTTTCATGAAATGTGATCCATATGCTGTTGGGAAGTTCTACACCATGTAAGAGCCGTCTATATATAGTAGCAGCTTTTATTGGTGTGATCCGTCATTGAGATTGCTTTGGAGAGACAGTACATACTGTTTTTACTTTTGGAAAGGGAAGTGTTATTAACACTCCAAAAATCTCATTCTACACTCCTCATAACTGTATTTTTCTTTTTAAATATGGAAAGTTTAGAGTGTAGAATAAGAAATTTGGAATACCAATAACAATTCCCTTTGGAAAAACTTGTTTATTTTATTTATTGAAAAAACTATAGTATTAGTTTCCTAACTTTCACTTGGATAGAGGATCTTCGTTGGATTCTCTTTGTGAGGATCTTGAAGATCTTGGGAATCCTCTAATCATATACGTTCATCGTGCATCATGCGGTCAATTTTTGTCAGATACTGTTTATATTTAATTTAAAATAAAAAAAATTACAATAATTTTTAACCGCACGATATACGATAAACGGATGTGATATGAGGATCTCCAGAATCCTCACAAAAAGGATTCAGCAAGGATCCTCGCTCCTTTCACCCTAGTTATACATGAGCCCTTGGCAAATACTTAACTGCAACTGGTTTCCGTATCGCTCTTCTTTTAGTGTTCCTCGTCACATGATTATAGTCGTGATTAAAGATCAAGAAAGAAGACCGCATGAAACTTACGCGCAAGTTCTTCCCGAGCCCTTGTTATGCTTCCTCTCCATAACTAAAACATGAAGATCACAACAGCTGGAATCTACTTGTAGAATCATTTTTCAATTTTTAGAAGGTAGTGTAACTCATAACATATCTGAAGAGGTGGTATGTACAGATCAAGTGACGCTACGCCTGCATAAACTAGCTAGAATCAAACACTTCTTCATGTGTCCGGTAATCGCCAAACAAAAATATACTATACTTTCATGAAACTTCCATATCTTTTCTTAATCTTCAGTTAGTTTATACCGTCCAAGCGATAATGTTGTCGGAAGCAGAATCTTCACTCAACGATAGCATACCCTTGTGGATCTAACAAGCTTCCAGTTACCATATTTTTCCATGATTCCTGGCCTCATTGTAGGCCTTGGTGCTGAGTGTTACAGCCAAAGTCATGATTCTTGTTCTTGGTGAAATGGATCATCGACGCCATGTACAGAACTCAACCTAGGAGTGGGAGAGGGGTTCCAACTTGTTATCTGTTCCAGCTCATGAGATCTCATACTGGCTTCTTCCTTGAACTTCATGGAGTATATAGATGACCAGAAATCTTTTGCCAAGTTCTTCAGAGGGTTAAAAAAGAGAAAGAAAAGCTTAGAAATCAATCCACTGTAATATTAAACTAATTAGAAGTCAGTTGAAGAAAATTTTTTGGAGCCTGAAATATTCATCCTACCGTTTTCATCAGCCGTATCAGCTCATTTAAAGCATCATTAAAAAGATTTGGTTGTGCCAGATTGGAAGTAGTCAAAATTGCTTGTCTGCTTCGGTGAGAAATGTTCACCTCCATTGCTGCACCTGTATGGTGAAATTGGAAAAAAAATGCCCCCACATATTTGTGAGACTTAACTCCTAGTTAGTGTGAGACTAGGTTGAAGACGGTAAATCATATCGTTAAGTAGCAGAACAAAAATGTTGGCTTTCACTGACAAAATCACAAACCTGCAATTATGTATTTGTCAATGATATGCCGTGCCATGTAAATCCTTCTTACAGGATCATCCGCTGGTATTTTACCAAGTTCATGCACTTCCTCATAAAAATGGACACTCTCCCCTGCCAAACAACTGTGATTAAGAAGAACAATAGAACAAAATAAATACTCCACGTGATCAATGATTTATTCTTTATCTCAATTGTCCGTGCAGAAAATAGATACCACTGCAAGTTTTTGATAGAAAAATGCATAATCTTTGAAGGTTCCATTTGGCTGGATAAAATTACTTTCAGCCTTTGGGCAATTCATTATTTCTTTTCAGTTAGCTTCAGGAGAAAGTCGTGTTCTGTACTCAAGAGGATATTTCAGCATAATAATTATTATTGCAAATGTATTTTAAAATATGTAACTTAGTGAAAAACGGAATACCTGTTTGCAAATTCCATGAAGGACTGACGGAATATTTTGTTCATAAGAAGTTTATCAAGTGGTTCATTAGGATCCACCACAGGTGCTGGTTCCCTTGGCAATAGCATTCCACTGTTAGGTATGCCCAGAGCCTTACCCATTGTCTCAAATGATAGGGGCTCCCTTTTCCTCAAGCTGATTTGTGATAGAAGAGGTTGTGAACTTGATATCGAAAATAAAGCTAACACAAGAATGCTTGCCTATCACATATACCTTAGAAATGTTAGCACACGCATAACACGCAAGTACTTTTACACAGGTGCATAACATGAAAAGGTACTACTACTACCAGATGATAAATCATACCGTAACTAAGAGCACAAATCTAGAGGCAACTTGAAGCCCTGAGATATCATCATGAATTTCATTCAAAATGTAAGCAACAACCCATACTCCTGGAAGCAATAAGGAGAACCAGTCAAAAGCCGGTCAAACAAGTTGTACTGATTCAATTAACCATATATTACTGATATATTGCAGCCTTCATCATCTTACAAGAAAGTTAAGAATCAATGACGCAGTTTTCAGTAACATGATAGTTTCTTCCACGATATCTAAGAGCAGAAGTAAACTAGCCTCTTTAGCAGCCAAGGAAACAAATGAAAATGCTAGGACTATTGTGCCTTCCTCTTTTTCAAGATTAATATGGAAGCACGAAACATTAGTAGAGATTTTTTATGTCATGCCTAAAACATTTATTTCGACTCCTATCAGAGAAACAAATTGCAGGTCAAAGTGTATAGTTTAATTGCCATGTGAGGCAGACAATTAGTGAGGTCCAACAAATGAGTACATCCGCGTCTACTATGTTTTCCCTTATGAGTTATGAGCGGGAATATACAACTTTATGTAGTCAAAAACCCCCCACAAACTTTATGACAGAGATACCAATAAGGCCTATACAACAAGACTGCATTTGGGACCACTTGACATTCAAACTAAAGAAATCTAATCTGAATTGGATTAAGATGAACACCCTTCATTGGAAAAAATTTGGAGTATCATTTTTGATATTCATCGAACAAACCAAAAATAGATCACCATGGTGTACCAATAGAAGAGGCTGAGACAAGTATTCCCTGCCAGAGGTCTCTAAGTTCGTCAAACCTGAACTCTATATGCCGAATAGCCCCCGTGAATCCTACCAAAATGGCAACATATAGTGCGTGGAGGGACATGTCTGGGATGATCCACTGAGCTCCCATGTGGCATCGATGATTTAGAGGCTCTTTGATGTGGATCACTACAAATCATATAAGACACCGTGTAAGACACAGGCCTCCAGAGTAGATATCCCAAGTAGAAATCAATTCAGAGAGCCTTACAAGCAGCCCAAGCAATCCATGGCAAGAGAATTAGTGGAAGAAAAATATAAGATCTGATTGGTGGTAGACACCTCCTGAAATTTCAATTGCATATAAGTGTAGCACACAGGTTATCAATAAAAACCAATACAAATGCAACCTAAATCTCTTTCTTAATTGGTTTTGGTTCCTGCAGCTTAATTTTCTGATTGAATACTTGGCAAGTTGCAGCCCAATTGTAATATTGAGCTTATTGAGCTTTACAATGCAACATTGATTTCTTAAGTATGTAAAACATATGCTTACTTTACAAAAATGTAATACAGTTGAAAGGCCTGTGATATGCGGCAGCTAAGTAGTAAACCAAAGCCAAGAGGAGCTCCAATCCAGACTGAAAGAAAAAAAGATACTTAAAAGAGTACACAAAAACTAAAGATATTCACAAACGAGAAACTGTAAAATTAACTTCAAAGTCATGATAAAATCAGTATACAACCTGCCCAAAGATAGCAAGACTGCCACCAATATGTCTTCTCGAATTTCAGAAAATTGAGAGACATCTGCAGGGAAACATGCTTTATTTATAAATGGTAACAAAAGATTCCCATAACACAACTTATAACAGAAGTTATTAAGAACCATATTGATGGATTATTGAACATAGAAAATCGATAATCACCACAAGCGACAACAAAAGGTTGAAGCTGGCGTAAATTTGAATCACTGGAATCCAAAAGCTACTGCGTTTCGGAAGAGGAATTTTGTGAACGGCAAAGGGTAAGATTGCCCGTGAAAGAAGCCTGAAAGAAAGAAACCAACCATACAAAAGACGAGTTATTTTATGAGCGAGGTTTGTTCAGCATAAAAGTATAATAATCACAGAATAACTCCAAGCACGTGAACAAACAAATCAGCATATATAATCTGAAAATTCTATAATTTCTTTCTATTCATTCACTATGAACAATGAGGTCAACAACTTTGCTTATCAAACTTTGAACATCAAATAGTACTTCTATCCAAACTAATTAACTCATAGAAAGCTAAAGGCTACAAATTTGGATACCTATTGCACCCTTTCACATGGAAATTTCAAATCTTTTGCTTTAACTCAAAATTCTCTCTGATACATTAAATCAAACAGATACCCAGCAAGCAATATGTTACAAGATTTCACCCAATCTAACTTCCCCATCAGCAAGAGCATCAGAATCCCAAAACCCCAAAGCAAACTAATTTGAAAAAACCCAACAAAACCTATTAAACTGTGATGAATTTAATCAGATAGAGACCCACTAGAGCCAGAAAAACTTACAGAATGAAACAGACGGCGGATATGGCGACGGCTAAGTAGTCGCAGGCACAGCCACCTTCCACTGCGCAGCTTGCCATTTTCTTTGCATTTGGGGTATTCGGGTTCACCCAGTACGTTTTTAGGATCCGAAATCAGAAGATTTTAGGACGCCCCGCCCACCAAGTCATCAGCTTCAACGTGCGTCCTTTTTCTGTGCAGTGCAAGCCATCGGACAATGGCAGCTTGGCTTTCGCACGTGATGTTTGGACCAGTAGGGACCACAGTGGAAATATTGTTTTCATTTGTTACAAATTCGAAGACTCTAAGGGTGCATTTGTTGCACTGGACTGTCTCGGACTGAACTAGGTTCAGGGACTAAGCTAGACTGGCTTAGACTAGACTAAGCTGGACTGATTTAGTGAAGCATTTGGTGCAGCATCAGACTAAGAAGTAGGATTGCAATATTATATTATTTTATATTAATTTAATATATATTAATTAATATTTTATTATTACTTTATCTTTTTCCTTTTTTTTTTTTTTTTTTTTCTAGAATCAACCTTCTCCAATATCTGTAACCTTCATTTTTGCCCCACCTTTTTTTCAGGGTCATGTTTTGCAGAAAAGACATAATCTTTGAGAGACCCACAAGAGGGAAAGAGAGAGATATCGAAATCAAGGGTTGCTTTCTTGCATGTTTTGGTTCTTCCAAAAACAAAAAATGCAGGAGTAATACGATGTCCTATGTGAGTCTGTTCTTGCATCTTTGAGAGACCCATAGGCAGTGTCTCACTCCCTTCTTCTTTTTTTTCTCTCGCTTCACCTCTGTGCTCTCCCATCGCTCTCTTTGTATTTCTTTTTTCTTCAGATTTGGTACCTGTATTTTCTGGGAAAATCATAGTTTGGTCAAGAAAAATCACTCACAGTCACTGCACTCATGATAAAGTTTTCAATCTTGTTGTTGGTGGAAGAATCTGGGTCACCATGAGACCCCTTTTTGTCGTCGTTCGAGTCAACGCAGATGGCAAAAAACCCCAAATCACCGACCCAGATGCCAAAAGGGCGCTAGGTTTACCGAACGACGGAGATCGGTGACAGTCATTTCTGGTTTGGTCAGTGGAGAAGGGAGGGCTGATGCTGCTCATGCGAGTTTAAGCGACGCTACTTGCAGAAAAGGGAGACGGGACTAGCAATCCCGTAGTTTTTGGGGATCCTCGTTAAGAACTTGTAGCGAGGTGAATAATCCAAGCGAGTCCGACCTAAACTCATTAAATCTAATCCTGGTGCAGACCAAACAAGGGACTACAGTCTAGTCTAGTCCAGTCCCCCTTAATCCGATCAAACAAACGGGCCCTAAGATTGCAAGTGGCTCGTTAAAAAGCCATCTCATAAAAAAGATAATGTTTTAGTGCCTAATAAAAACCTAGATCCTCTCCGTATCATTTTGATGAAAATCTTAGGAATTCGTGAATTATGTCCGTTCATCATATATTGTGCGATCAATTTTTATCAAGTACTGTTTGTGTTTAATTTTAAATAAAAATATTTAAAAAAACTTATGACCGCACGATGTATGATGAATGGACACAATTTACAGATTCTCTAAATTCTCACAAAGAGGATCCGAATTTTAATAAAAAAGTGTTTGCGTGTTTTTTGTTTTTAAAAGTTAAAAAAAAAAAAAAAAAAACCCAATTACGCAGTCATTATTTTTTTAAACAAAAATATGTGTTAAAATATTATTGAGCAAAATCAAAAGGTACTCATTAATGAGTATCCAAATTTTATCCATCGTGAAAACACACCAAGCTTATGTAAGTACCAAGGTTTAGAGAGCAGCATCATTTGGACAAATTTTTTGGAGCATTTTTACTCATCACCATTTAGTGTGATGTATATTCATTACCTTATTTATTACTGTTAGAGAGATTCATGTAGTAAATATGCATAAATCTCAAAATTCAAACTCATCTAACAGTAATAAATAAGGTGGTAAGCATACACCACACTAAATGGTGATGAGCATACACCAATGTGTATTATGGGCAGAATTTGAAACTATCTGATTAATTGGCTTGTCAAATCATTCAATATCAATAAGTATATTCACACATTATTGACTATCGCATTTGTTCATCTTATTAATTCCATCACTACATTTACTTAAATAATTGTCAATAATATATCGATATATTTGTTAATGAAAGTTTACAAGGAACTATTAAATGATGTGGTACCATGCAACTGGTAAAGCAATCTGACTCAAAATTTTCCCCCGTCACAAATACTTGGAGTCTATTTTTTTTTTTAAATAAGATCGCACGAGTGATATAATATATCCCGTAACGAAAGAATTTTTCCATGATTTGGCCAAGAGTACTTGAAAACGTGATCTAGAGGTGACTATTACAGATTTGTCAACCAGTTGCATTAGCATTCAACAGATTGGGCAAATAAAATAAAACAAAACAGCTAATGAAAAAAATTAAATAGTATTTCATTATTCGTTCCTCAATATATCGCTCCCCTTGAAACGGAAAAATCAAGGAGTAACACATCAAAATTGAAAAGAAAAAAAAATTAATAATAAGGATCAAGGAATAAGAAGAACAATATTGTTTTCTTGTCGTGCAAGATTCTTTCGAATGAGTCAATGGGCAGAAACCCTAAGAACCGCAGCAAATAAGCCACTTGTTCTGCATCCACAAAGTGTAGGTAGATAATTAGTTGTGATATACATTCAATTAGGTTAATCAGAATTTAGAGATATAAACAGACTTAATTTGATAAATAATTAGGCATGGATATTAATAATTATTATTACCTTTTTGGGGTGACTATTATATTTGTCACTTTTTTTACGGGAAGCATATTTTTCTGGTGCTGCTGCAACATTAATCAATGGAGTTCCACCAGACTTTCTGTCATCTCTGGCCTTGTTGAATATGACTGTGAATCCTTCAGCCGATGCCGGATCGTTCACGTCCCACTCCCCAAATTTTGGTAGAGGTCCCCCTCCCCTACTGACGCCCTTCCCTTCTCATACTACAATTTATACAGTAAGCAAACAATGTTATTCATGGAAACAATTTCCTGTGTAATAATCACACATTTGATCTTTCTGTGACTTTTGGACTTCGAACGTCCATTTTTCTGTATAAGATGGATCGTCACTGACGTGTTATCGATACAAAATCTGTCATTTTTTAAAAACCCTAACACACGTACGTCTCGTGCACAGATGATAGAAAAGCAAACCCTACATCTCTAAGATCAGGAAAACAAGATTTACAAGACATGAAGGGAAAAAAAAAAAAAAAACTTACCGATGCCATTGATGGGTAAATCTGGGGAGATTGGAATCAATTCACAGAGAGGGTTTAAACTTCAAAGAATCTGAGAGATTAGGAGTTACTGTTTGATTAAAAGAAGGGATTAAGAGAAAATATATAAAGGGAAATTAGAGAGTAAAAAGGCAGAAAAGGATAAGGTCGAAGGGTTCGGTATTCCTAGATCGAGTAGGCGCCCACTCAAATCGGACGCGGGAACAAAACTTGCCGTTTGAAAAAGCGCGTTTTTGGTCAAAGGCTGCTGCTGCTTCTTCTGCTTAATTATCCAAAACGCTGGCGTCCCTATTAATTTGATGATTTCTAAGCAAACCGCGAATAACCACGGCAGCTTTTGCGGGAAGGGGTCGTACTCGTACCCGCCGCTGCACTTCCAAACTTCGAATAAAGCTGTTGCAACTTGCAACACTACTCGCGGTTTCGATTCTTGTTTTTATTGGTCAACGACGGTGCCAAAAATTAGATTAAACAGGTTTTTGTTGGTTAATTCATGTTTAATTTTGTTTGTTTTTATTTGAACTTGTTTGGATTAACAGCGTTTTAACTACAATGTTAGAAGAACTTGGCATGGATATACCACAATCATAGCGTTCTGTGTCAATCATACAACATCATGAAGAGACAACTGATCGAGTATTAATGTCTTTGTGTCATCTTAATTGCTCACCTGAAAATTTTAGTTTTACTAGTTTTACATCATTAAGTTTTTTGATGGCATAAAAAAGATGACAAAAGTTCTTTTAAAAGTACACAAATACGTTAAAAATAATGGGATTGACTAGAGTACATACATGGTACTAAACACCGACAAAGTGAATCAAAACTTGCACAATATTCGCATGGTTATGCAAACGTGCGTGCATTAGTTTTGTTTCAACTTTCTTCCTCACAGATAAACAGAAGTAATACGTTTTAGTAATAGTGCCTCACTAGCTATACACTCCCCAAGTTACAAGACAAATTATGTACATTTTCTAGTAAGGGTGACAGTGGCAGTCTTCTCATATCTTCCGTGATGAATCTGATCGGTAACGCCATAACATCCCTCCAACCAAATTGTTGACTGCATGAGAAGCCATTGGCACGATAAGGCTAGAGGAGACGACGGTTGCATAACCATACACAAGACCCACAAAAGTTGCCCTGAAACACGTTTTAACGCAAAATCATAACTAATCTTCAATGCAGTTTCATGAGAGTTCATCGAAATAATTATACGTGACATGAAATGAAAAAGGAAAAACTGTCTAGCAATGGCATGAATGAACCATTTCTGAAGTGTTAGAGATAAGAGGATAAGTACCAAACAGCGAAGGAATACTTTCGGCCACTGCCCAGGTGTAGAACACCAAAAATGATGGCGACTACCAAGGCGCTCCTCCAATTAGATCCAAAAAGTGGTAGCAAGGCACCCCGAAAAAGAAGTTCCTGCCCATCCGATGCACGATGAATTAATGCAAAATTAGCTGAGCAGAGAAGAGTTGAACAATACTACAATCTGTTTACAAGTATTAGCTAACCTCACTGACCCCGGGCAAAAATGCAACGATTATGTAATCGAAAGGTTGAAGTGATGTAAGAACCTAAATTGCAGGAAACAATTTGTGTCAGAGATGCAGAATCAACTATGGACGACACTAACAATAAAAAGGGATGTTTTCAAGCAGCAATGTGGGACTGAATTATTATATTGACAGAGACAATTATTGACTGCAAATCCTTTGTGGTAACTCTTCTGAGTCCTTGCAGATATACAGCTAGAACAGAAAGTAGATACCTGCTGATTGGCTGCTTCGCTGGACTCCGCGAAATCCGGCCATGTCTTCAATAATAGATATCGGCTAAGTGATATCAGAATGACCAATCCTGAAATCAACTGAAGATGCCACACCTCAAAATCAACTGCACCCGATGGGAGAAACAAGTTATGCTCTTGAAACTAATGAAACAACTAAATCCAGAAAAAGACATTAAAATCCGAAACATAAAGGAAAACACAGAAGAAGGCAATAAAAAGTATTGTGCTGTAGTATAAGACTTGGGACTGAAACAACCCACACTAGACAAATCTTGCTTCAGTAACAGCTTATAGACTGTCCTTGCCAAAGATGCAGTTGTTGCTTCTAATCAAGGAGAACAAGAATAAAATTTTCACGGGGAATTCTTGCATCAAGATAGTATGTGAATGTTCATACATGGTACTTCCAATGAGCAGTCAAAGACTGGCAATCCTTCAATTGATGCAACATGAGAGCCTGCAAGTTGCAGATAAGATATAAAATTTAAAATGCAGATTACTTGCCAAGTTAAGCAAAACTCCAACCATATTTTTCTGTTCCTTTTACAAAACCTGAAAATAACATTATACTCTAGAGTAGAATGTCTTAACTATTAACTAAACTCGAGCCTCGGTGAAAAGGTTTCAACTTTTAATTTATAATTCAGGTTCTGATGGAAGATGTGTATGGCATGACTAGTCGACGTTCATGGGAAAACATATTGATTTTCTCAGACAAAATATGAACTTTAGCACATAAAATAATCAGAAACAAGGACAATTGTGTCACAGCATGATGTTTAAGAAATTTCAGTGCAGCATGTACGTTCGACGAGGTCCAAAATGTATATCCTGGTCTACAAAATAGACTGGCCTACGATCCTGTTCTCAACAAGGTAAAATAGGACAGTGAAAACAGTTGATTTGCGTGAATCGAAAATTTGGAAGAACATAGATTCAGGAACACACTAAGTAAATCCTACCTGTCGAATAATTATACCCAAAGCCGCTATCAACCCGGATGTAACAGTGCAAGCCTGAAGCACAGCACTTCTGGAAGGGAATGCAACCGGTTCCTCTGCAGCTAAATTAACACAAGATTCCACATTCTCGTCATTTTTAACACAATCATCTTCGGAAGCAATGCTCTTATCTGCTACCTTTTTTCGTGCCTGCCCGTCCCTTCTCGATTTCTTCACCGAATTCTGACTTGCAAAAGCTCTCGGGCTAATTGCAACTCCCTGCCAAAACAGAAACACACAATTGAATTCACATTATAACAAAATCAAAACCCAACTTCTACACACCAAATACTGTACAAAAAACAAATTATACACGAAATTCTCACACTACATAATTTGGGAGGCAAAACTTTGTGCACGTCAAACTTCCCACCTGAACAAAAAGGTTCAAACTTTATACTACCAAATCAAGAAGCATAATCATAAACTCCAACACAGAAGGCCAATTTTTCAGTGTACCGGCCGCATGGCGATACAATTCTACTCAAATTATAACGCCACGTGACTTGTGTTCTCGATACCATAAAAATTTATCCGAAGAAAGAAATAACTTTTAAGTAGTGTAAAGGACTAACCAACGAAGATAGAGCTTCCCCAACTCAATGGGATCACAGAAAGGGAACCCATTGGCCAATTGCAGGCCAGAGTCCAATCCAAATTGGTTTCCTGTAAAAACCCAGTTTAGGAAATGAAATTTCGGTTTAGATTTTATTCATTTGAGCAAAAAAAAATTGAAAGTTGAAGATTTAACGAGCGTTTTACGAACCTGTGAGTAAAATTATGGAGCAAAAACGGCAGCTAAAAGCCCCGCGCTTTACAGCTAAAGAAGCAAGGGAGCGACCGGAGCTTCAAGTCCCAAGATCGAACAACGAACGACCACCACAACTGCTGCCACGTGGATCTTTGAAGACAGACAACAAACAAGGGATATCCTAAAGTTGACTAATGTTGAAAGCCGGTACAACACCAGGGATGGATCCTGTATGTTATTCGCAGAAATGTTCTCGTGTACCATCATTTATCTGCTGATGTGCTTTAGATGTTTTAATTTCAATCGTTTGACGCCAAATAGAATGGTGAATAACCATAAATCTTTGATCACTAAAGACTTGTATGCACGGATACGCTATCACATTACGTCTCATGTTGATAATATAAAAATATGTGTTACCTTTTTTCTATATGTTTGTATTATTAACACCGAACGTAATCATGACGGTGAATCCGTACCATGAGTTATTCTCATGTCATATCATACGAATAATTTTTAGAAACACGATGCATCAAATGAGAAATTCCGAGTGTCGTATACCAAACTACTAGGATGAAACAAAACAACAAAATGTGGAAAAATTTCCACCTGCGATTTGATTCTCTGCAACCTAAAAAAATGTGATTGCATCGAATTTTATAGTTTGGGGATGGGACATATATGCAAAGCGAAAGAAATGAACGGCAAAAGGAAATGACGAAATGTCTGTCTATGATACAATTTGGTTGCACACCCTAATGAGGGACAACCAGAGACTTGATTGGTTACAAAATGGTTCCCAGCAGCCACAGATGCAAGAAGAGCCAGTAGACGATAAGTCCGAGCCTTGCCCTCGGGCGACTCATCAAAACCCGCCCGCCAGATACCCTGCGTATATAGATTAGAAAAACAAATAAGAATCAAGGTGAAACATAGGAAATGTGGCAGACTGCATTGATCAAAACAACGGCTAAATACGCTGTGTGTTAGATGTTAGGCAACTACTAAGGTTTTCGTGTAATAAGGTTTCAGAAAAACAAGGTGAAAGGAAGAAAGGATTTTGATGTTTTCCACCGCAACCCCCTTCTCTATATAACAAGGTTAATCTCGGGAGTTTACCAAATTCCATCTATTCGATCTGCAACCAACTTTCCTTGTCTTGGAATGAGACCAGATGCATTGAGAGACTTGAATACATGACCTGGAAAAGGACAAGAAAATAAAAACAGAAGGAAATAAGTTTCACCACGCCTTAAAAGGGTTTGGAACGATAGACAAATCATAAAGTGCACACCTTTGTCCTCATCAGTTTCTTCACTGTTGAGTAACCGGGTAGATTCAGAGCCAATTTCAATTGCCAGATGGTCAGTTGAACCCTTTCGCAGAGTTCGCACATGAGCTGCTGATTGGACAGGAGATATCCCGTTCTTTCCATGTGATCCCTGAAAATTTTGATTAAACTTCAACTCTTACAGGTCTCCGTACAAAAAACCATAACTGATATTGTTCGGCATGCAACTAACAATAGGCACACCTACTATTTTTTGCACCGTAAAACACCTTAACTTAATTGGAAATTTTATAGCATATATCAACATGTTCAAAAGGAGTCAAATGGTAACGATGCAGAGAATGGAATTATAATGGAATCATATAAATGAACATTTACCCCATCTTCAATTTCAGATATTTCTGAACTGGTAGGCAACGAAGGTGCTTCAAAGATGCTCCTGTCCTGGACAATCTCTGACTGAGTAGCCCTTCCTTGAAGTGAATTAACCACAGTCGATAATTCCTCCACAATCTTTTGGCTCTCTCCCAACTTAGTACCAAGTTCCTGGGCTTTTGATTTTGAACTTTCGGATTCCAGTTGTAAAGCCCTAACCTGCTTCTCCAATACTGATAGAAGTCCCGTCACACCAGAAGATTTCTGGTCTCCTACTAAATCATTACCTCCTGACATATCTATAATTTTTTCCAAACTATATATGAGCAGAGACAGTTCATTTTTCATCTTCTGTCTACCTTGTCTATCTCCATCATAACTTTCAACCTCCTCCTTCAATTGTTCAATTTCGAGATTCCTAGTCCCAAGAGTTGACTGCAGCTCATCATTTTCATAAGACAATAAGTTTATCTGATGCTGAAGGTCAGTAATACTATCAATAACGTAAAATAGTTTATTCACATGAGATGAAATGTGGGGCTCCATGTCTCCTCCTAGTGACTCTGGCATAGGGATTTCAATCCCGCTGATCTTGTCAAAGAGGATTTTGATTTCAGATGCTGACAGGAGTGAGTCTTCCGCCTCTGAAACAAGCAACATGAATAAGTAAGTCATTAGAGCACTTACAGTCATTACAACATCAAAGTAAATATGTTCAGCAACATCAGAAAGAATAAGAAAGCAAAGAGAAGATATTCACCTTGTTCCTTCATTGACAAAGCATAGCGCAGTGATAAAACTTCAGCCTCTTTTTCGTTAAACTTATCCTCTTTGGATTGATAATCCTCTAGTCTAAGTGCCAGCTTACTGCATGAATTCTGTAATGCTTCTACATCAGCATCCAACTTGGAAATCCTATTTTGTCCAAGATCCCTTTCTTCAACGGCTTTCTCAACAGTCGTCCTCACTTCTGTCAGTTTCCTCTGCAAATCTTCAATTGCAGAGGCTGCCACTTTACTTGTGCTCTCAAACTGTTTAATCAAAGCTTTAACTTTTCTAATAGAAATGGACAACATTTCTGCGGTTTTCCCATATTTGCTGCTGTATAGACCTTGCTCATTGGTTTCTGTGGTCTCTCCACCAATTTCTCCTGTTTCTGGGAACAGATACTGTTTCAATTCTTCAAGCTCAGGAACAGAGCTCAGTTCAAGTAAATTGTTCTTGACTTGAAACTGAAGTTCTCCAGTAGCATCAGTACAAGAAGAGAGTAGAGAGTTAAGATCATTTTCTAAACTGGCTATTGTATCCTCCTGTTCCTGTTTACTTATTTCCAGATTAGTTGCTTTTTCTTTGACAGACTCCATGTTCTCGGACATAGTGATTACTTCATCCCTTATTGCCTGTAGATTTCTCGACAGATTTGCAATATACTCATCTACAGAAGAAGAGAAGCGTTCAACATTTTCTGCAAGAATATTGTCCCGCAACTGAAACTCTTCTGCAGTCTTCTTCAAATATGAGGACATATCAGCATCGGAAACACTGGCCTCACCATTCTCCCTTTCAACACTGTAAATGTTGTCAAGGCCATCTGAGAAAGACTTTGTCACATATAAATCTTCCTGGAATAAGTAATAAAAGGAGCTCATTAAAACAAAGATAAAAAATATTGAGTCATTGGGAACACATCACAGCGACATTCTAATTATAAAGGAGTTTGGTTTTGTCAGAGCCAAACATATTCTTCCCGGGAAGAAGTAAGAAATTGACAACAAAAGAGAACACAAAAAGAAGAAAAAGGAAAGCTCAAAATGCAAAATGGATTCTGGTCCACCAGCATCTGCATGGCATGCACAAAAGAAAAAATAAAGTGAACCGTAAGGAACAAAACTTTCTCCACAGAAAAGCATATATACCTCCAACACTTGGTGTCTTTGCAGCTCTTCTAAATTCATGGAAACACAACGGTCCTTTATATTTTTTAGAATGAGTTCCATATCTTTCAGGCCCTTAAATTTCTTCTCGAAACATCTTTTCACAGTGGACAACAGAGTTTCATCCTTCAGTAACAGGTGAAGATTATGTAGGTGACCACTTTGCTCTATGGACCTGCTTTCTGTGCTGCCATTAGTTCCAGACAACTCTTCATTGCATGTATTTAACTTGGAATTAAGAGCAAATATTTCTTCTTCAGCATTTTTCTTTTCACCTTTAAGTACAGAAATATCATTCTCAGCCTTCAGCAATGCATCTTCCAGTGATTTTATGGTTGCCTGGGCATCTGCTACCTTGTTATCGTGGAATCGAGCTTCGTCTTGCAGTTTCTTTAGCTCACCCTCTAAATTGGTCCTACCAATTTGAACTTCATTGTTTTGTTCAATGAGTAAAGAAACATTGTCCTGTACCTGTGATAGGGAATCTTCGAGTAACTTTATGGTCTTATAGGCCTCTGTTAGTTTGCCAGTCTGAATATCAACTTCCTCTTTTACTTTATCTAGCTCTGTCTCTGCAGCAGCTCTACCGGCTAAAGCTCCTTCTTTTTCACTGACAAGCACAGATATATTATTTTCTACAAGTGATAACGCCTCTTCCAGTGACTTTTTTGATGCACAAACCTCACCGTACTTGCTAGCTTGAGACTCAGCTTCCTCAATTGCTTTCTCGAACTCTTTTTCAACATTGGCCTTACCCACTTCCATTTCCCTCTTTTGTTCAACAAGTTGAGAGATATCATTCTCTGCAACTGACAACTCATTTTCCAGAGACTTTATAGTTGAGTGAGCTTCTGCTAACTTACCAGCCAGATCATTGGCATCCTCTTTTACTTTTCCCAATTCTTGCTCTGCTTTTCCTTCGCATCCTGACACTCATTTATGTATCCTGAAATGAACTTCACCTTCCCCACAGGCTCTTCAAAAACTGGATCAACAGGAAGATCAATGCCATCAAGAGATTCGATTACTCTCTGTAACATGTTATTGCTCTCCAATAAGAACTGTTCGAGTTGATCCCGTTGTTCCTTCATTGTAACTAGATCAGCATCTAACTTTGGGATGCGATCTACATCAGCAGATAAACTACTTATCTTGTCCCTGCATTCAGCAAGTGCCAATTGTTCCTGCTGTAACTCAAGCTGTAACTTCTCAATTTCCAATTTCTTTTCATCCAAACGATGTTTCAAGTTTTCCCTGTCTTGAACCAGTCCCTTACCTTTCTTGACTGCCATGGATAACTTCTCCCTTAGCACAGTATTTTTCTCCTCTGATCGTTCAAAATCTCTCTGCAGGGTCCCCTTTTCCTCTTTCAAAACTACAAGTTTTTGAGATACATCCCACAACTCATTTGATAGATTATTCACCTCTGACCTCACCAGAGTCTCCTCTTCTAGTAAAGTCTCACAAAGCATCAATTTCTGATCTCTTACATACAGGTGGGTTTGAATTGTTTCAAACAATTCAGCATCAACCTTTGGAGAATCAAGTGAGGCACTACTCTGTTCTTTTATCTTCCCAATGCATCTGTCAACGAGCA